CAGTAAACTAAGACACAGATGTATGGTGAACCATTGCCTCCATTGAGAGTTTCACCCACTAAACAAAGACACAGATGTATGGTGAACCATTGCCTCCATTGAGAGTTCCACCCACTAAACTAAGACACAGATGTATGGTGAACTATTGCCTCCATTGAGAGTTCCGCCCACTAAACTAAGACACAGATGTATGGTGAACTATTGCATCCAATGAGAGTTTCACCCACTAAACTAAGACACAGATGTATGGTGAACTATTGCCTCCACTGAGAGTTTCACTCACTAAACAAAGACACATCTGTATGGTGAACTATGACCTCCTTGAGAGTTTCACCCACGTAACAAAGACACAGATGTATGGTGAACTATTGCCTCCATTGAGAGTTCCGCCCACTAAACAAAGACACAGATGTATGGTGAACTATGACCTCCTTGAGAGTTTCACCCACGTAACAAAGACACAGATGTATGGTGAACTATTGCCTCCATTGAGAGTTCCGCCCACTAAACTAAGACACAGATGTATGGTGAACCATTGCCTCCATTGAGAGTTTCACCCACTAAACTAAAACACAGATGTATGGTGAACTATTCTCCACTGAGAGTTTCACCCACTAAACTAAGACACAGATGTATGGTGAACTATGACCTCCTTGAGAGTTTCACCCACTAAACTAAGACACTGACGTATGGTGAACTATCGCCTCTATTGAGAGTTCCATGTGGTACCCCAGAGGATTCGTGTTCTTTGTTTGAAACAAATTTCATCATGCTTGGGCGGATCGAATCAAAATTATTGTCAACTTTATCTGCATATAGACGAATCACAAATTGTTGAAATGAGCAAATTCTGATTTTTTTTCCCTGCATATCGTATTTATTTATATATTCATTGGTGGATTCGAATTTCTCTTTTATACATATACTTTTATATACAAACTAAACATGGACTATGGCACAAGCATTTTAAAAGTAGGAAGAACTTGCAGTATATACATGTAGATAACTTAACAACTTGAATTGAAAACTTCATTCAACGACTAGTTCTACACAGCCACGTAGCATCGTTTTTGAAAGTGGGGGGGCCAGCCCAGAGAAAATTTTTTTTTTACTTACCTGAAAAAGTTGACAAGAAAAGAAAAAAAAAAAAAAAAAAAAAAAGGAAATTGCCCAAAGTCGAATATCCCCAAAGTCGAAAATCCTATTTCGTGGGGGGGGGGGGGGGGGAGGGGGGGTAGAGGCCTACTTCAATGCCTACTTCTCCTGGAACTAATTTTCCTGCTTTCTATACTACATTTTCTTGACATTAAATTCGTGTACTATAAAGTGGGCGGGGGGGGGGGGGGGCCACCAGCCGTTAAATGAACAAAATTTCCAATAGTAAAAGTAATGTTGGCAAAAAAGTGGGGGGGGCTGGCCCCCCTGCCCCCCCCCCCCCCCCCCTGTTGCTACGTGCCTGCTACATGTAGCTTTTAAAAGATACAACAAGTCTTCACTGGCATTTTAGTTTTGTGCACCAAGGCTCGCAAGGAAATTTTATATACAGCAATCCAAATACAGCTTGATAGAGGCCTGTAGCAACCTTTTCTATGTGGGGGAGAGGGGCATCTCCAGTAAAAAAAAAATGCGTACTACAGAGCTGTGCAACCATTAGATTTTTTTCCAATGATAGATTTCTTCCGTATAAATCCAGAACAGATGTCAAATACCCGCTGTTATATGGGTTACATGTATCAAAATAGCCCGATTTTTAACCAGAAGTCTCTGTCGAGACTGTAGCTCTACTGGTTTGTACTTATAACAAAGGAAGAGAAAAGAAGTCATTGCCATCAGACCAAAACTGTAGAAGGAGTAGCGTTTTAAAGGAATTTCACAGACATTTCTATTTTTAGTAACAATGGCAACACTGTTCATCGAAATCAAAAACCGATGCACTATTTTTATGTATCTTAGTGTAGTCTACTTGTGTGCCAAGTTATATTGAAATCAGACCAAAATTGTAGGAGCAGTAGCGTTTTAAAAGGAATTTCACAGAAAATTCTGTTTTTAGTAACCATGGCAACACTGTTCATCAAAATCAAAAACTGATGCACTATTCTATGTACATGTATCTTAGTGTAGTCTACTTGTGTGCCAATTTACATTGAAATCAGACCAGATCTGTAGAAGGAGTAGCGTTTTAGCGGAATTTCAGAGAAAATTCTATTTTTAGTAACCATGGCAACATCGTTCTTTGAAATCAAAATCCGATGCACTATTTTATGTATCTTAGTGTAGTCTACTTGTGTGCCAAGTAATATTGAAATCAGACCAAAACTGTAGAAGGATTAGAGTTTTAGCGGAATTTCACAGAAAATTCTATTTTTAGTAACCATGGCAACACTGTTCATCGAAATCAAAAACCGATGCACTTTTTTGTGTATCTTAGTGTAGTCTACTTGTGTGTCAAGTAATATTGAAACCAGACCAAAACTGTAGAAGGAGTAGCGTTTTAGCGGAATTTCACAGAAAATTCTATTTTTAGTAACCATGGCAACACCGTTCATCGAAATCAAAAACCGATGCACTATATTGTGTATCTTAGTGTAGTCTACTTCTGTGCCAAGTTATATTAAAATTAGACCAAAGCTGTAGGAGGAGTAGCGTTTTTGAAAAGTTGTTTACAGACAGACGGACAGACAGACAGAAGACAGACGGACAGACAGACAGACGGACAGACGGACGGACGGACGACGGACAAAATGTAATAAGAAAAGCTCACTTGAGCCTTCGGCTCAGGTGAGCTAAATATACTTCAATCCAAATACTAGTAGCTTGTTACAGGCCTGTAAAAAACTTTTTCAAAGTGGGTGGGGGAACGGGGGGAGGGGTTCCGGGCTACAAGAAGTCCACGTGATTACGGGTTCATCTAGTTGTGCGGCATGTCCAATAACAGAAGTTATATAGGTTCTGTTACCAAAGCTGAAGATTTTTTTAAAATAAAAAGAAAACGTTGAGAGAGAATTTAATATTAATTTTGTGCTTTTATTTTACTGTCACTCAATGTGCACATCATTCGCAGCCCTGTGAAAAGCAATTTCAGTTTGGGGGACACAGCCATACATTTTCTGGTCATGCATTATAGAAATTGTTAACGATGGGGAAACCTCCGTCACCTTTCAGAGTAACCAGTGGACTCGTCCAAGGATGCTTTGCTGGCGACTGTAAAAGTTACCTGAGATTACTACGCAAAGGAAAGCGCGAAATCTCTGTATAGAAACAGTTGCGGCTGCGGAGCCTCACTCATTGTTCATTCGCCATAGAATAGAATCCGACATTTAACACTTAATATCTTTGAATATATAGACGTTTTCAGGATAAGCTTCATTTTTTTTTCTAGAAATATTTTTATCTACAAAAATAATACATTATCGTGCTTTTAAACTGAGTAAATCGATGACCTAGCATCGTTTTAGATAACTCAAGCCCCTCTAGGGCTTGAGAAAAAAATATTTTTAACCATTTCTGCAAAATTTGGAGATAAGTTCCATTATTTGAAGATAGTTACAATTATTTGAAGATAGATACGAATACTTGAATAATTTTAATTTGGCGTTCCATAAGGTTAAAAGTTTTTGCAGAAAAACAGACAGATGTACGGACAGGGCAAAAACTATAAATTATATCCTCGAATCTTCGATTACGGGGCAAAAAAAAGGTAAATACTAAAAGGAAAAGTGTCTTTTGACCACCAGGGTGAAAAGACAAGACAGCGCTAATCATATTCCAAAGGTAAAACGAAAGAAGATAATGTGTTTGTTTGGTTGTATGTTGTTTAACGTCCCTCTCAAGAATTTTTCATTCATAATAAAAACAACACCACTTGCCGGTGGAGAGCTGCAAAATTTTGTCCTATACTCAGCACTTACGGACATCGTAGACCTTAAATATGAGCAGTAAGAGATATTTTCTGCGACATGGGACCTCGGTGTATACATTCTCACCCTAAGGACCGACCTCTACGTCCTACAGTGGTATTAGTATTGTACTCCATTGGCTGATTCGATTGGTTTTCTTGGTTGGTCTGGATTTTTCCCGCTTTGTATGAGTATTCTTTGTTCTATGGTTGATCAGGCCAGACCTATATACATAGACTTGAGACTGAAGATTTTCCTTCTCTGATCACCATTAATTTCATATACAGACATACATTTTGTCAGTCAGACAATTTATTGGGAAAGCGTGTTCCCACAGAATGGTGAGATTTATATGTTTTATCTTGGATATCTTTTTATGATTATTTTGGGAGAAGTATGTAAAGATTTATATATTCAAGAGTTATCTCCCTTTGATGATAATTGTGTAAACTTAGGATGATAATCTATTATCTTCATGTTACATGTAAAGTAATGATTGAACATTATGTGTGTGATATTTACATCTTATTTATTGTTGTTTTATGATATTTACATGGCTATATTAAAATTGATGTATATGCCATGTCACTCCACTGTGAATAAATATAAAGAACCCTGACAGGAGTTTGTGTGTCTTTGCCATACCCCCCTGTTACAAAAGCAACGATTTAGTTTATCATTTCCCCTAATGGCTTTCCATAGATGTGTGCCATCTTATCCGGGTCAATCTTAGAAGAACCCTGCCTGGGTCGCAGAACAAAGACAGTATACAGGTCCTTGTCAACATTACGAAGGAACACATCATCTCTTTTCATAAAATCTTGTGAAAATAAAACGAAGCAATAGCTAATGTGTAAAGCATGCACACCGGTTACACAACCTTCTAATGCCTTGGCTGAACATTTTCATACAATACCTCTAGTAGTATCAGAAAGCCCCCTCTCTGTAACCAAACACATTTTTTGGGGCACACCCCTTTAAATAAGTGTAAATCCTTACAGAGACTGGATTTTAATCATTATAACATTCTTCTGATTTGTTTACACAAAAATGTTACAGACGTGCGTGTGTTATGCGAGAAGGGGATCGTCATTTCACACTTACTCTGTTTAATGGCGAGGCACACAACTCCCAACGTAGTCAATGATATTCCTTAATCCTTGTTATTACGTGTTCTGAATTCTCTCCAGTTTACAAATACTCATCCACACTATCTATAGAGCAACATTTCCCAGGAAATTCTGGGAAATAAATAAACGATTGCACGTCCGGAAAATAAGGAAAAAAACATACAAGGGAAATGCGATCCGTTTCTTCTGTACAGTATCAGATAAAATTCAGATCCAGTAAATCACTATATATTTGTTATAACTTCACTTACCAGTACTACGGTTTTACATCCTTTCTCCAGCTCCTACTTGAGTACTTGACATAAAGTGTTTTGTTGTTCTAGCTGCGTTTTGCCCGCTTTCGTGGCAATAGCGGTTTGCTTAATATAAATTGCATAACATAAACTAGAACAGCTCGGCACACGGCTTCGTGCAGAAAAAACTTTATATAAATAGCAAACATATATTCAAATAAAATCGAAACAGAATATAAATGTTAAGTTACATGTGAATCTAGTATCGGAGTCAACAACATTCAGGGGCATTAAAAAAATATTAATGACGAGTTACTTAATTTTGCTTGTTTAGTATTTTTAATTTATTAGCATATATTTATTTATCTTTTTTCTTACTTTGAAAAGCTTTACTTGAAATTCTAGCTTCAAATAAAATCCTGTAAGTGTTTATGCCTCCCATAGCAAGGACTCTGTTTGCGAAATGGGGACAATAATACGGTTTTATTCGTTAGGTACATTGTTGATGCACAATGGAGTGCAAAATCAAGAGCCTCTGTAAGCGTACAAGTATAACGCGGCTCTGATGCCTGAAAGGTTTACCGCGCCGTAGGAGCCTGGCATGCTTCTCGAGTTTGTGCTCCAAATCTTTTAATATACGCTGTGTAGGAGGAATGTGTATCATACTATAGATTACTGTTTGTCCAGTGGCAGATTTAAGGGGGGGCGCACCCGGCGCCCCCCCCCCCCCCCTTAAATTGTCAAAGTTAACGTAAATCACAGTTTCGTCTAGAAAATGTAAATATGTCTACTTGGTAAACCTCATTTTTACCCTACATAATCTCTAGAACCCAGGAGCTTCCGGGGGCTTCGCCCCCTAGGCCCCCACCAGGGTTTTGCCTGGACCCACTGGGACCCCTTGCCTACTTTTGGCGCTCCCTCTAACTTCCATTCCTGGATCCGCGCCTGTTGTCCCACATGAAGCTTTCCCCCGACACGAGTCTTTATCATGCAGCATATCAAAAAGATCTTGAACATGATGCACAATATTTTGTGAAACAATGATGCCCCTTGTGGGAATCAAAAATTAATCAAAAAGTGGGATGAACTGATTTAAACATATTTTATTGAAAAATAATCAATCGGATTGGACACAAGTTACGCCAACTTAGAATGTCCTCTCCAACGTACACAAACAAAAAAAAAGCAAATTTATATACACGTGATGTACAACAAACAAATCTACATTGCAAAAAGGAAGAAAAAAGTGCTGAGAGATCTATATAAGAAAGGAAGAGAATAGGACTGCAAGGAGAGATGAAAGAAGGAAGGGGATGTAAATGATACAGAATGGGACGAACTCCAATGCCAATATCAAAGGTTAATAAATAAATGGTATCTAGAGCAAGGCCTTGTCACAAAAGTACACGTGAAATATCAAAACCCTATCACAAAGTGTTTAAAAATATGTTCAAAGTAGGTTAAATTCCAAGTTTAAATTATTGGTAAACCGTATTCAAACGGAGGGCTTGTCACAAGAAATACAGCTGTGAAATCAATGAGGCTATCTGGTAAAGCCCAAATTGCCAAAAATTTATGGCCTAATGGCTGTATATATAAAGTTTTTTCCCTAAAAAGTGGTTTAAACTATAAGATCAGTCACGGTGGTTACAGCATTTCCTATAGAATTGCAGTGTAGGCAGTACAATTGATCATACATGTATACGTTGCGGATATGAATCCTAATGCGGGACATGAGACCGTATTAACCGAGGATATGTCATATATATATATATATATATATATATATATATATATATATATATATATATATATATATATATATATATATATATATATATATATACACACACAAGATACAAGATATTTTATTTACCAATCAAGGGCCCCGAGGGGCATTTCAACATACATAAATGTACAATTTAAACATTCTTTTTCTTAACAATATTAATTTTTTTTAAAACAGTTATATAAATGATCAAGTTACATAATAATATTGTTCTCAGTGTCAATGATCATACATAATACAAGTGTCCAGAAGAATGTCAATGATCACAATACAATACAAAAATGTGATGCTATACATGTATAAATTTAAATGACTTAGCATGCATAAACACGATGACAGAATCTATGTAATTATACATTGGTTCTTTTACCATTTTCAGAAATAAATTTTCCAAGTAAGCATAAAATTTCTTTATTTTCATTATTCATTATCCATACAAGTTTTTCAGAAGGTGTCAAAGAAGAGAAGTTTGGGTTGATTTTTGATATTGTTTCCATTAATTGCAACCTTTCATTGCTGTATTTTGGACAAATGAGCAAAAAATGTTGTTCATCTTCAACTTCCTGTATATTACATTGAGAACACTTTCTAGATTCAGAGGGAAGTCCTGCATATCTTTCCCTTTCAATATTTAATTGATGTGCAGAAATGCGAAGTTTTAGTTATATTTTTCCTCTGATCACAGTTATTGACAATGTGAAGATAGTGTTCTCTTCCAAAATTGATTTTGAAGATGGAATAAGTTCTTAGTTTACCATCATTTTGCTGCCTATTTTCCCTGTACCATTGGTTTATAAAATATTGTCTTATAATACATGATGACTTCTTTTTAAATGAACAAGTACTATTTGAAAGCAGTTAAATGACCCAAAATTGTCTCAATGGATGCAAACCACTATGGTTTATTTTCTAAAAAGAGGCTTTTTGAGACGGAGTATGCTTCTTTGAGTAGGACAAAAGATGGTTGTAATGTTTCTAGTCGAAACGGTCGAAACCAGTAACTTAGCATAGCTTTAATAACTGAATGATACAGTGGAAATCTACCTAGCTCAGATAGAAGTGCAAAGTTTGTTGACTTTCTATGCACTCCAAGAATAGCCTTGCAATATTTAATGTGCATTGTTTCACATTTTAATTTGTTAAATATTTTGTCCATTGTAATATCTTTGTTTTGAAATTAAGAAGAAAAGGGGTTGAAAGCCCCCCAAATTTCACAACCATACAGAAGAATAGGAGAAATGGTATGATCAAATAAATGAAGGTTAATATTGACATTATGACAACTGGACATAATTTCTCTCTGTAATTTTGAACATGCATATGCTTTCAAGGCCTTCTTATATAATTCATTTTGAGCGAAGATAAAAGAACCTGAGTTACAAAAGTAAATACCAAGATATTTGTATTGTTGAACACATTCAATCAACTTATTTTGAAAAGAAAACTTTTCTGATATTTATATGTCCCTGTTTTTTTTTTAAGTGCAATGTGTATAATAAAAATATTTATTTTAACAGAAAATTAAATCAAAGTAAGACTTCTTGTCTGCAATATGTACAATTCAATATTGTGAATTATCTGAAATGGTGTATTTATATACAGGTTGAAATGCCTTTGATTGGTAAATAAAATATCTGCGGAATCATTGTGTGTCACACCTGATCGAAGCTGAAAAACAGGTAACAAGTGACCTAAAAAACATTTACCTGCTATATTTCGCAAGTCCCCGTAGCGCAGCGGATAGCGCGCTGGACTTCTAATCCAGAGGTCGCGGGTTCGAATCCCGCCGGGGATGCTTAATTTTTTTTTTTCTTCTTCTTCTTCTTTTTTGTAGATTTGGAATGTTCTCTCTTAAAACCTGTTTGAAATTGCCACAGTTGTTCTAGAAAAGAGATTAAAGAAAGATTCATGAGTTTACAGACAGAGGACAGCTGAACAGACAAACATATGCTGTACAAAATTTAGGCAGAAAAACTCGTATGAGGTTTAAGTATGGGTGATTTTATAATAAAAGATTTATATCATATTGTATGTAGTTTATGCAATAATTTTTTTTTCTTTGAAAAAATTATGAATCATAGGAATAATTCCCTAACGGTAAACTCTGTCAAGAAAATCATTGGCCATGCTGTTAGTGTTACTAATAAATTATTTCCAGGAATAAATAAGGCGCTTTGTCTAAGTAAAGCCGATGGATACTTGTTTTTCTTTTTATTTTATTATCACCATATGACTGGAAGAACATGCTAACCTATAAACTTATCATCTGTACATGAAATATTTAATTTTGGATTTGAAACTTAGGAATGGATATTTAATTGACCCCCCCATACTCCAAGAAAAAATGAGAAGGATTGGTACTGATAGGTTGTCTCCATTTTTATCTATCTATAAAACAATCAAATCCTAATAATCAACAGATAAGAAAATATCTGGCTCAAGGTCATATCTCTAGTTTTAAGGTTGGAAATGAGATACAGAATTTGAGTCTTGGCTAGAACTTCAAAATCATTGGAATGGAATAAATTCAAACATTGCAATGCTATTCTCCTCAGGACTCTCCATACCTTCTATCAAGTACATAATGGTAATAATATTCAAATACATTATTTCCAAGATTAAGTAAATATATAAAAATCTGACAGTTTAACTTTTAAGTCTAGGTCACCAAGGATGGGATACAGAAAATGAAAACATGCTGTAAATGGGTTAAAAATGGAGTAAAATGAATCTGATGGACTGATGTTTAAGCCTGGAATTGAATGACAAGTATGCATCAAGGCCCTCAAATAATTGTCATTTTGAAGATCAAGCTGTGGAATTGATGTCAAAATCTTATATGGCTTTTATACTATGGAAAGAAGAAAGACAGTTTGAGGCCTTTCTCCTTCTTAAAACATGATTTCCTTTGTTTTGAAAATTAAATAGAAAAAGTACAAAACTGGTATAGGGAATGCCTTACAGGTAACTTAAATTGATTGCTAGGGGAGCTAGCTCAACATTAAGCTACAGAATGGCCAACATGAACAAAAGATTTACGCCACAATCATGTTTTAATTATTTATAAACATACATTTTTTTTTATAATTAAAGGTTGTATTTATGTAAATCATTGTAATACATTTAAAGGGATTAGAAACTTGGAAGCCTCTTGTGTCAAAAAATCTAGATCAATCTGCCTTTTATTTTGATACCTTGCAGTAATAAAATCCATACCTCTCAAAAAGTAAATAAACGTAGTTGTATCTCTCCCTGAGATTTTCTGACAGGTCAAAGGGAAAAAAAAACACGTGTTCTTCTAAATGTACTAGTACATGTAGCTGTAATCCCAGGACTTTACAAATATTTTTTTCGTTTAATATGGAACCATAAATTATCTGTTAAGACCCTCAAAAGATAGAAACCAAGGGCCATATTTTTGAAGAGTGTGGATTCAGCAATTGAACCTTTGTCATAAGATCCTGCATCGTCGCTAGCCTAGGGTGATGATCCGGATCGTCACCCTCGGCTAGCAAAGATGCAGGACCCTGTTAATTCAAAAATCTGAACTGATTGTTCCAGTATTGATCAATGAATAGTTGAATGCCTTCAAGAGACATCTTCACTCAAGGTCTTAACTATTAAGACAAATTGGTTAAGAGTTTTAAAATTTATTTTAACAAGCTAACAAATTTATAAATAAATATATAATAAAGGTAACACATTTATAAATATATGAGTAATGTCACGTTATTTCCTCTAGGATATTGTTTATTCTGCCTTTATTTGGTCTAAACTGAAATCCATCTATGGTTCCTCCTTTTAGAGAAATTTGAACCAGTTCCTGAAAATGTTCATCAGAACAACAGACTGGGCTCAAGGCGTCGTCAAAGTTTGGTTGATAGAACAGGAACAACAGAGCCTGGACACAAGTCTCAAAGTCACACTGGTCAGCTGACCAGACGTCACGGTCCAGTACACTGACGCAGACATTGGAGCAGTCGTCACGGTCCAGGTGGTCAATGTTAGGATGGTAGATATCCGTCAGACAGCGGATGATTGGGGGCTCCCTGGGCCACTGACATTCCTTTTCTACACAAAACTGAAAAAAAAACAAGTGAACAAGGAATTTAAAAGACGGAATTTATAATCATGGCTAACTTTGAACAGGGTTAAATTATATATGTTAAAGCAAAAGACTGCATCATTTATGCTTATTAATTCTTCAGATATCTGGCATTTGTTTACCTCAAACCTGAAACTGCCTCCTTGATATGGACCTCCATTGGGCATTATGTCCACCTCAAATCTAAAGAACGTCTCCGTTCTATCTTTTTCGTCGTCATCCCCCAGAATAACCTTGGCTTGGCCATCTATATAGAATGGTTGAAAAAACTGTTATTAATTAATGACTAAAGATTTACTGATGTGCCATACACACAAAATAAATAAAAACATTTCAAAAATTGTATAGACCTAAATCAATTTACAAAATAGCGACTTCTGTAGAAGTCTAAAGATTCATTTTGGATTTTTCTCTGAAATTTATATATACATACACGATACATAAGCAGAGACCAGATTTTCTTTCTTTGTTGCTTTGTTGTTCATGTTTACAGTACGTTTTATTTGCAAAGAGTTATCTCGCATTGCTCGCAATGCTCCCCTAAGACACGTGGCGACTGTGGTCAGCTGCTTAGCGACAGACACCAAAATGATAAAGACCAAGAAATTCTCACCTGAAAAACTCTCTATAGTCCTCGCCAAACGATGAAAATCTTTTGTTATCCTGTGCGTTGTCCCCATATTTTCTATAAATACAAGATCGCCCTAGTTTCTTCTGGATAAACATTTTCTATAATTATAAACGAACGCACTACGTGCGTGAACAAAAACGAGTTCTCACGTCATGTTTGCCATCTTTCTTCCACAGTACATTTCGTATAATTACGGGTATGTAGGACTTTAGCAAGCTTTATATGAAAGTCCCGATTCTATATTTAGATTCTTTTCACAACACAGCTGACGGATGATGAAATAAATTGCAATATATTCTATTAATATACATAGAAAAACCCGATATGTTCCGAGTGAAATTAAAATTAAATCATTTGTAAGTTTTCTACCCGATAGAAAGATATGTGCCTCGGTAGCGCAGTAGGTAGCGCGTCAGTCTCATAATCATTGTCACAGAGCGATCTGAAGGTCGTGAGTTCGATCCTCACCCGGGGCATTATTTTTTTGTTTTTAACACGATATTCCGACATCATGATGATTGTACTTAGTACTAGTGCTACAAGATTTGCATGGCTTGGTCGCAATAAAATACATGTTCGTATTATACGTGCATGGTCGATTATGTATTTTCAGAACAATAGAACTAGGAAATTCCAATGTACACCTTCGATGATCAATTCTATATCTGACATATAAATATATGGTTCTCCGTGAAGTTGGACTTCATTGACTACCAATTTTCTAACCCTATATTTGACAGAAATCGTTATAGCTTCGTCCCAATAGTGCACCATGACCTTTCTATATTATATTAAATTTTTTTCATTTTATATCAAATTATTTAATGTTTAAGTTCATGGCTTTGGTTTGAATTTAGCATAGAAAATAATTTCTTTGCACTAGAGAGGGCAGGCTTTCTAACAGGAAACTATTTGTTTATTTATTTCATAGTACTTGCTCATACATGTATATATAGTATGTAAAATTCCAATGTATCTTAGGAGCGCGTTACACCTCAAAAGACAAGGCACTATGTACACAGCGTTATCTGGACCGCTAGGGTATCATTACTAGAAACACACCTTGTACTTTAATTAAAAAGTTCTGCATAATTATATCCACTGGAAATTTCACAGGAATAATGTCGTCCAACAAAAAATTCTGCGAGACCAATAAGTGCCTGTTTGTCATCCTTGTAGCCGTGGCTGCTGTGATCGCGATCATTTGTGTGGTAACGTTCTCGGACGAAAATCTGCGTGAGAAAAGAAACCAGAAGGCGGATCTAAAGTGGTGGCAGACTAGCATCGTCTACCAGATTTATCCCCGGTCGTTCCAGGATTCGGACGGAGACGGGACGGGGGATCTTCAAGGTTAGAATTCTAACTTGTATAGCTGTTTACTGAACTATGTAAAAGTCGCATGCTTTGTAGAATTAAGATAGGATTAGAACATTCATATTATCCATAGGCGTCGGAAGCAAATTGAATATGGGGAGGGGGGCTAATTGAAAGGGGGGGGGGTGTTAACCAACGAAAAGGTAGAATCCAATTTTCAATGCCTATATTATGTATATATTGTTAAAAAAAAAAAAAGCCCGGCCCTCCCTCCGGTTCCGACGCCTATGTTATCTCACCTTTACTACATTTACTGACATTACTGTAATTCACTGTCTCTTCGAATGTTGTAACATATATAACAAAGACGCACCATAATGCCCGCCGTGGTCACCATTCACTCTGTCAAAAGAACTAAAATTTCAGCATTTCATACTATATGTATATACATGACATGTGCATGAGGGTTTATGAGACCATTTGTAAAAGTAAAACCAAGATTAATGTTGGAATTACCAACTTTAAAAACTTTAAAAAAGATATTGCGTGGCACAAATACGCTTCAGTATGACAGTACTTTGTTTCTTACTACATGTATTTGCAGGAATCAAGGGTCGCTTGGGCAATGTGTCGGATCTAGGGGTTGGGGCTGTCTGGCTAAGTCCCATCTTCAGGTCCCCCATGCGTGACTTTGGATATGACGTTCAGAACTATACAGAAGTGGATCCTATTTTTGGAAACATGGCGGATTTTGAGGATCTGATGAACGAAGCCAAGGCAAAAAGTAAAGTGTTTTTTCGTTCAAACAAAATGAAAAAAAAAGTTAGAAACGATACATAGTATCCACAATGAAAAAGTGCAAGAATATCCCAAACTTTTAGAAGGAACTTGCATTAAGAAAGTTATATATTTATATCAACAGAATATTATCTCCTTTATCTTAAAAATCCTGTCATTCGGTCATTTTTTAAATTTAAAAATAAAAGTGTACTAAGACTTATAATCGGGGTAAATCCCATCAAATAATTAAGATTATCCAACCACAAGCCACTGTATAAAAGTATACATTTGTATGCATGTACAATGTACACAACAAATGTATAACTATAAAAAACATCTTTATTTTTAACAAAGTTCAATTACCCGCTACTAATATTTTCTCTTTTTCGAACTCTCCACACGAACCCCCTACCTTTACATGCGGCATGATCAAATATCAATCCAGGTTCCACTTTTCCCTGAGTCCCCTTACATAGGTTGGTATCTTTTAGAGGAGCTTAATCGTTAATGGCCAATCCCAGCGGGTGGTTAATTCCCGCGGTTATGACGAGCTTTTGATCTGTTGCCTCTCGTGTAGGAAACAATATTCCGCCATATTTTTGACAATAACAACAATTTCTACAAAAATGGTCGGTTTAAATATGAATTTTTGAAACTTTTATTCACTAACTCATTACTTAACAATAAACTTAACAAGATATGATTTAAAAGATGCAAAAATTTGAAAAAGTAAAAGATAAAATTACCTTGTCGATTTCCATTTAAAAGGTGTACAGAAGCCACAAGAACAGAGAAACAGCCCATAGAAATAAACTTAAAAGTTTCATTTTTCAGTATTGGCCTAAGCAATCAATTAAGATATTCTAAATCTTGCAAAAAACACAAACTTAACTTATAATACAGACCAAATAAAGCAGTGTGGTGCATTTTGTAATTCTTCCTCTAACACTCTAAAACATTACTATTAATTGAAGCGAGAATTCAATAAACTTACCTCTAAGTAACGACAGCATTACATGTACGTACCACGCCGATCAGCGGACCTCTGTTCACTTTCTCACAAAACGCAGAAGCAATGGCCACCATCACCTTAGTCCAACCACGATTTGTCCAATCATATTGCGTAGTATCCTACACACACGAAACGCTTGACCACTTTCTCTGCACGCCTGCAAAGAGCAACCACAAATTGACCAATCAGGTTCCAGCATTTAAACCAAGATTTAGCGGATCAAAGCTTTGGGCCTGCTTCCGCAGTCTCGTCATTGACCCACTGTTTTTCTGGGTCATCCTTCTCCTTTAGCGTCTTGTTTACATGTACAGACGGTGTATAAACAATGACCATAGACAATGCTAGTATTCTTCGACTGAATGAGATGTTTTTGACCATTCTTTGTAGGCAATATGAAGGGAAAGACAAAACAAAATGTGCAAACACCTAGTGCATACTAACTGTATAGTTCAAGGCTGGGTGTAGGTTGGGGGTGGGGGTGTTAAGTTCGATCGCATCATCCACATTTCATCCCAGAACACTGCATAATTTATTTAAAACTGGTACCCCAAAATGATGTCCCTCCAAAGCGGTATGGTCAGTTGTAAGGATTTCTGTTATTTTAGATTTGCGTGTAATACTGGACTTTGTCCCTAACCACACGAGTAACGAGAGTGAGTGGTTTTACCTCAGTGAGCGGGGCGATGCTACGTACAGGGATTACTACGTGTGGAATGACGGCGTGAATTGTACCTCGGGATGTGAAGACACAGGGGGAAAACGACCCCCGAATAACTGGGTGAAATGAATCTCCATCACTGTTATTTAAAATTAAGGGACTCCGACCCTCAGCTAGGAAGGACAACTCTTTAATTTATAATTTAATTCAAAAAGTCTTTAAATGAAGCTTGAAAATTAAATTTTTTCATGCAACAATTTTCATTATACGCCTCTCAATGTGCTTCAAGGTTCTTTGAACTTCTCAGAAATGTCTAATTAAAAGTAGAAATTTTTATCCCGAAAAAGCATTTTATGATACCAATGTTTATTAACATGATATAAAAATAAGAAGTGATTTATGGAACTTTGCAAAGAACCTTGAAGCACATTGAGAGGCACGAAATGAAAATTGTTGCATGAAAATATTTAATATTTTCAAGCTTCATTTAAAGACTTATTGAATTAAATTATAAATTAAAGAGTTGTCCTTCCTGGCTGAGGGTCGGAGTCCCTTAAACACTGATCTTTTTTAATTAAGTATAGTTGAATGAACATGCATTTGGTTGCAGAAAATAAGAAAATATATAAAACATTTAAAAGTTAGAAGTTTTTTTTTTATTCAAGAAGTTAAGTATTTTTTATAGAAAGAATTACTATTTATTAGCTGAGTGTATTTGGTGGATCCGCCTGGAAGTGGAGTGGAATGAGAAATAAATTTTACTACCACGCCTTCTTAGACTCTCAACCTGACCTCAACCTGAGGAATAAAAAAGTCCGGGAGGAACTCAAGGTTAATATCAGAATTAAGAGTGACAGAGTACGGCACACAAACACGAGAAACCTTTATCACATGAAATGCTCAGTATATTTGTGAACTAAATTTAGCGAATGTTTTTATTCCCATTTAGTATCAAAAAGAAAGAGTTGTTGTTCTTGGTTCACAAAGTTGATAATATTCAAAATCTCCATAAGATATTAAGCTTTTAGAATTACCGGGGAGGGGGGTCTACACTGTATAAAGTAATTTACGTATAGATAGAAATCATTGTCATTTTGTAAACCATGGTGTGATTAAAGGCACTCGATTAATGAAAGAAATTTTCACGTAATAAGGCCATTCCAAGTTTTTTCTATGTTTAGCGTCCGCGTGCGCCTTGGTTTTTGACACCCCATATAAGAAAAAACACACAACATCAGGAGTCCTGAAATTGATTAAATTAGTCGATTTTTTTTAATTTTGTCGTTTCTCCAAATAATTCTGTGCAGTAAGTTATATTGGGTGCATTTTAAGCATTTAATCCGTTGTTTTTGCTTAAGAATAGATATTTCTTCTATTATAGCAGCTTAGTTAGATGAAATCATTTGAAGGGCGTCATTTTTATGACTTTTAAGCCTGTGTTTTATGTTTTGGCTTGTGTGTTTTTTGCGAATAGGTAGGTAAGTTTTTGAAAGATGGGTGGACGCTAAACAGAGAAAAAACTTGGAATGGCCTAAGCTGTTTCTTGCCTAAAATCAATTCTTAGAATTTTTATTTATTGTCGTAAATTTGTATTTTACCAAAACAATGAAGTATATAACCTTGAGTTATCATTGTACTGCTGTATTCAATAAAAAATTATTATTGTATACTATGAACTAGTGGAACTGTGGGAATGAGGGACAGTTGACCTGGGGTTTCAACCCCCCTCCCCCAATTAAGACTTGTTTATTCTTGTATTGTATTTTGCTATTTTTGTAAACTGATTTCCTGTATTGCCCAAAGTTATATTCTGAATAAACTACTAATTCTACCATGCATAAGAAAGGAAAGGTTAATCTGACGTATATATCAAACCTTACACTACGGATACTCCCCCCCCCCCTAAACACCCAACCCACCCCAACCCCCGCCTCCATGTTGTGTTTATGAAAAACTGTGTGTAATATTTTGTAGGCCAATATGTTCATATGTCAACATATATTGTTCCTATGATAACTCTAATTCTTTATTTTGACAGAACGTGTTGAGATTCTGGTTACAGAAAGGGGTGGATGGATTCCGAGCCGACGCCCTCAAGTTTATGTTTGAATCCCAGAATGTGACGCAGAACGAGACGGGGTTAAGTGTAGGGTTAATTTAACCATGTATTTGTTTGTGTGTGTGTGGTTTTTTTTTGGCTTTTATTTGTGCATTAGTTTTGTTCTTTTTAAATATGATAAATAAATATCTATCCAGGACACATTTGCTTGGATTGAAGAGGATAATCATAATCTGACGACAAACTTTAAAGAGATTTATGGAATTCTGAAAGAATGGAGAGAGGTGTTAAACGACTACGGCGATGACAAGTATGAATCAAAATACGTGTAAGAAATAAACATAAAAAATCACTGGCGGATTTAGAGGGGGGCGGGTCTCCCCCTTTATGTAAAAAAAAAACCCAAAAAAAACATATTTGATAAATCAATGTTTTTTGGTGTGGTTGGGCCCCTACCCTGACCTCAAACTGGTCGCCCCCCCCCCCTCCTTTAAAAATTTCTGGATCCGCCAGTGAAAATATACCTATGAGATGTCATCCACGCAATAATGTCAGGAGTCCTGATTCAACGCACCAACTGCAGTCACCGTGCACCAGTTGATTTTAATAAAAAAAAAACAACATTTATACATCTATTACCATGTATACATGTGCAATTTTACCTGTTCTGTAGTATTCTTAGCAATATTCTTGATATACGACGCCATAGCTGCCTTATGTGGCTATTTCATATTATGCTGTGGTTATTTTCTATGAAGATGGTGCTCTATTATATTATGCTGTTGTTATTTTATATGAAGATGGTGCTCTTTTATATTGTGCTGTGGTTATTTTATATGAAGATGGTGCTCTATTATATTATGCTGTGGTTATTTTATATGAAGGTGCTGCTTTTTTATACATGTATTATGCTGTGTTTTTTTAATATGGAGGTGGTGCTTTATTATATTATGCTGTGGTTATTTCATGTGAAAGTGTTTTTTTAAGTGAAAGTGGTTTCTAAAAAAAATATATAATTATTAAATGTCAAGATATTCCTCATATTTTTGAAGATTAAGTTTAACACTAATTTAACAGCTATAATCTCGAAAGATTGAAAGTAAAACAAATACTAGTATCAGTAACTGGTGTAATTAAAAAATACTAGTACCAGTAATTGGTGTAATTAAAATCATTTAAATACACTATTGCTAATTCCTTTTTTTTCCATTATGCATTCACTTGGTTTCAGGTTGGTGTATTTTGTGTATAATTAATGTTTTCCTAGGTGTGACTAAATACACTCGAAAACATAAAAAAACGATCACTAAGATAATAGCACGTTTTTAAAATGTCGTTTTACTGTATATAGGTATAACAGTTGCCATTTCCAGAAAATCTAGAGGGATTTGTTGTCTCTGTCATTCCGGGACGCCTCTATATTCTACGTAGTTATAAATCGTCAGTTCCATTGCTTTCACTTTCAGTGCTAAATATCAAGACGCTTTTGTTTACTGCATATTTTATACGACACCTTCATATAAAATAACCACAGCATAATATAAAAGAGTACCATCTTCATATAATAGAGCACCATCTTTATATAAAATAACCTCAGCATAATATAAAAGAGCACCATCTTCATATAAAATAACCACATCATAATATAAAAGAGCACCATCTTCATATAATAGAGCATCACCTTCATATATTAGAGCACCACCTTCATATAAAATAACCACATCATAATATAAAAAAGCACCATCTTCATATAATAGAGCGCCATCTTCATATAACAGAGCACCACTTTCATATAAAATAACCACAGCATAATATAAAAGAGCACCATTTTCATATAATAGAGCATCACCTTCATATAATAGAGCACTACCTTCATATAAAATAACCACAGCATAATATAAAATTAAAAAGAGCACCATCTTCATATAATAGAGCATCATCTTCATATAATAGAGCACCACCTTCATTTAAAATGATCACAGCATAATATAAAAGAGCACCATCTTCATATAATAGAGCACCATCTTCATATAAAATAACCACAGCATAATACTAGTATAAAAGAGCACCATCTTCATATAATAGAGCACCACCTTCATATAAAATAACCACAGCATAATATAATAGAGCACCATCTTCATATAAAATAACCACAGCATAATATGAAATAGCCACATAAGGCAACTAAGGCGTTCCATACGACTGTACAGTCGATAATGCGAGTATGATGAATTGTGGATTTAGTTTTTTTTTTAATTCACAAATTAGAACAATCACTTATATATAAAGCCGCCGATTAACAGTCTATTTGTCTTTTTTTCAAACACTAATACTCCAAACATTTCTTTATCAACTTTATTCCCTCTTTAATAACTATAAACACAGTCACTTCGTCTGTCTGTTTCTGTATTCATATTTCCCGTTTTTTCCTTCAGATTTCTGATAGCTGAGTCTTACGGCATAAGTCATGCCGTACGGAACGAGTACTACAAATCTGGCTCCATTCCTTTTAACTTCGCCTTGATTCAATATCTTAACGCAAGTTGTGACGCACTGTGTCTGAAATCTGTGATAAATGAGTCAATGGCGGGCCTTATACCGAGCTACTGGCCCAACTTTGTGGTTTGTGAAGTGTTTCAATATTTACTGAATGTTGAGGGGAAAATCTCAAGAAATCAGATATGTATAACATGTGTAATGTCGTTATGTATTTTTTTTTCTTTTTTTGTAATTTAAGATAGGAAATCACGACAACCACCGAGTGGCCAATAGGTTCGGTCCGGAGATGATAGACGCCTTTAACATGTTACTACTGACCCTGCCTGGGACCCCCACATCCTATTACGGGGAGGAGATTGGAATGAGGGACACCTTTTACACGTACAGTGAGACCAAAGACCCCGCCGGCCTCAACTTCAATGAGGTTTCTATCATTCTGGTTACAAGATCTTTATGAATTATTTAATAATAAGCTTGGCATTATTTTAAAGTCTACAAAAGCAGAAAGCTCGAATTTGTCTTCATACCAGTATTTTGAAGGTATGGCGAAGGAATATTCTACCAGCATATAAAGAAAAATGTAAAGTTTCTTTTTATTATCTTGTAATATTACTTTCTATCGAGTTTATGAAAATTCAGTGGTATTTATCATAATTGTAACCCGTTTTTTTTTAAAGGGCTGGGACATAAGAAAACCTCACCCTTTTGCCCGTCCGTCTGTCTGTATTTTTTTTTAACTTAGGTAATACACGTAACTTTTGAATGAGAGAAGATGAAGCTTTCATATATATTTGTGGACAAGACCTTTCTGAATGTACTGGGTTTTTTTATCTTATCTTTGGAGGTTAGCCTACCTTTAAATATTCAAACCATTGTCCATCAGCTTCTGTACCTGACAGACCTGGTTTTTATATTTTACATGGGTATTACCTGTGTCATTATCCTTCCAAATGTACTTTGATTTTTCCCTGACCTTGAAATTTGATCCACTTTTCGATATTTAATTTTGGGAAGGTAGTGTAACGGACTTACTAGAATCACAGTAGAACGTATATTAAGAGCTTTCTCTACAATTTATGACTTTTGTTATTGTATGACAGACTTTATACCTGGAACACACGCGGGACCCAGAACGTTCCCCGATGCAGTGGAACGACAGCCTCAATGCAGGATTCTCTAGTGGAACACCCTGGTTACATGTCAACAGGAACTACAAAGTCATCAATGTTAAGGTAAGGAATAAAGTACAATGTTTTACATGTTTTACATTTTACATTGTTTAACATTATAGTTAAAATATTTTACGATAGGTTATCTCACCGACAATTAGTGGCTAGTGTTGCTGCTATTTAATGATGGCGGTTTTCTCCAAGTGTCAAGTTTCTTTTATATTTTTTAAGCTACATAGCTCATCAATATGATAAATTCATGTAATTGAGGAAGAATAATTAAAAAGGGTTAATGTAAAAATACATGAATGAAAATAGTGCCCTAGCTCATGATCTTTCGTATTTTCTTAACAATGTTGCAGCATGAAAAAATTAACCAATATTTAATTCATGATCTTTTATATTATTAAAAATAAGCAAATTTAAAGCAATTGTATTTATTTATAGCCACAAGCCTTAGTATCATAGTACTTTTTGATCAAAAATTCTTTCATAGATAATTATACAAGGGCATATCAAAACAAAATGAAATTCATTTTCGAATCATGAATTTGACGAAATGTTTTTAATCTGATAATCTTTTATATGCTACGGTGTCAACCCGCTTAAATAATCAGCATATGATTTAGATCTGTTCATCTTTTATATTTTGTAAAATATTATTGCAGGTAGAAAGTGACAAATATATGTTCCATAAATTATACTTTGACCGGTTTATTATACATGTACTGCATGGTATTTTCTATTACAGTGTTGTTGTTTTTTTGTTTTTCTTTATAATTTGTATAACCCTTATGTCATTTTGTAACACCATATTTTAATAACAAACATTAGATTAATTATCATTTTGTGTAACTCTTAATGTGATATTCTAAGTTTTATGGTAACAGCTAGTGGAAAACATTCAATCACAGAATAGATCAAGCTGTCTGAAGTTTTCTTACTAACATCGAGAGTTTATAAAAAAAAATAATAAAAAGTACCCCTTTCATCTCTGAAATCCACAAATCCTATTCATATAAAGTAATGGTTTCTGGTCCTGAATTTTCCTCACATCTTGGCTAGCCAAGTTTTTTCTGATCTTAGCTTGCCAAGGTTATTCTGATCTTAGCTAGCCAAGGGTTTCGTAGATAAACAAGGGTTTCCGATCCATTACTCTCGTCACATCTGAGCTAGCCAAGGGTTTTTGATCCATTATTCTCCTCACATCTTAGCTAGCCAAGGGTTTTTGATCCATTATTCTCCTATGGTTAACATCTTTGCTAGCCAAGGGTTTTTGATGCATTATTCTCTTCAGAACTTAGCTAGCCAAGGGTTTTGTTCCATTATTCTCCTCACATCTTAGCTAGCCAAGGGTTTCTGATCCATTATTCTCCTAACATCTTAGCTAGCCAAGGGTTTCTGATCCATTTTTCTCCTCACATCTTAGCTAGCCAAGGGTTTTTGATGCATTATTCTCTTCACAACTTAGCTAGCCAAGGGTTTTGTTCCATTATTCTCCTCACATCTTAGCTAGCCAGGGTTTCTGATCCATTATTCTCCTCACATCTTAGCTAGCCTAGGTTATTCTGATCTTAGCTAGCCAGCCAATGATTTCTAATCCATTATTCTCCTAAAATCTAATTAGCTAGCCAAAGGTTTTCTGATCTTAGCTATCCAAGGTTGTTCTGATCTAAGCTAGCCAAGAGTTTCTGACCCGCTATTCTCCTCAAGTCTTTGCTTGCCAAGATTTTTTCCGATCTTAGCTAGCCAAGGATTTTCTGATCTTAGCTAGCCAAGATTATTCTGATCTTAGCTAGCTAAGGATTTTTTATATATTATTCTCCGATCGTTTAAATCTTAGCTAGTCAAGGGTTTCTGATCCATTATTCTCCTCACATCTTAGCTAGCCAAGGATTTTTGATCCATTATTCTCCTATGGTTAACATCTTAGCTAGCCAAGGGTTTTTGATCCATTATTCTCCTGACATCTTAGCTAGCCAAGGATTTTTGATCCATTATTCTCCTTTGGTTAACATCTTAGCTGGCCAAGGGTTTTAGATCCATTATAGTCCTACGGTTAACATCTTAGCTAGCCAAGGGTTTTGATCCATTATTCTCCTATGGTTAACATCTTAGCTAGCCAAGAGTTTTTGATCCATTATTCTCCTATGGTTAATATCTAAGCTAGCCAAGGGTTTCTAATTCATTGTTCTCCTATGGTTAACATCTTAGCTAGCTGAGGGTTTTTGATCCATTATTCTCTTCACATCTTAGCTAGCCGGGGTTTTTTGATCCGTTATTCTCCAAACATCTCAGCTTGCCAAGGGTTTCTGATCCATTATTCTCCTATGGTTAACATATAAGCTAGCAAAGGGTTTTGATCCATTATTGTCCTATGGTTAACATCTTTGCTAGCCAAGAGTTCCTGATCCATTATTCTCTTTACATCTTAGCAAGCCAAGGGTTTCTGATCCCTTATTCTCTGCACAACTTAGCTAGCTAAGGGTTTCTAATCCATTATTCACCTATGATTTACAACTTAATTAGCCAATGGTTTCTGATCCATTGCTCTCCTATGGTTAACATCTTAGCTAGCCAAGGGTTTCTGATCTATTACTAAGTATTCTTATATAGTTAACAAGGTAGCTAACCAAGGGTTTTTGATCCATTATTTTCTTCACAACTTAGCTAGCCAAGGATTTCTGATCCATTATTTTCTTCGCATCTTAGCTAGCCAAGGGTTTCTGATCCATAATTCTCTTCACATCATAGCTAGCCAAGGGTTTCTGATCCATTATTCACCTATGATTAACGACTTAGCTAGCCAGAGGTTTTTGATGCATTATTCACTTATTATTAACATTTAACTAGCCAAGGGTTACTGATCGTTTATTCAACTATAGTTAATATCTAAGCTAGCCAAAGGTTTCGAATCCATTAATTTCCTATGGTTAACATCTTAGCTAGCCAAGGGTTTCTGATCTATTACTAAGTATTCTTATATAGTTAACAAGGAAGCTAACCAAGGGTTTTTGATCCATTATTCTCTTCACATCTTAGCTAGCCAAGGGTTTCTAATCCATTAATCTCCTCACATCTTAGCTAGCCAAGGGTTTCTGATCCATTATTCTCGTTTAGTTAACATCTTAGCTAGCCAAGGGTTTCTGATCCATTATTCACCTATGGGTATATCTTGGGATTGCAATTTGTAACCGTTTAATCGATTAATCGGTCGGAACGATGCTAATTGGTTAGAAAATCCGTAAACGGTTAGTCGGAAAAGTAAAATATATGTAAATATGAGCGCAGTTTCCTTAAAATCCCCCCCTTTTTTAGAAAGGAAAGCGCTGCATAGATTTTTTTATTAAGTGTTTTTACACATCTTATAATTCAGAATATTTGGTTAGTAATACTTGATATCGCGATTTCTTAACTTAGCGGAACTCTTTCGCAAAGGAGGAGGAATCGTCTGTTGGGTGGGGGCAATGTGCTATTCAATACAATGCAAGATCGATCATTGTAGCATTTATAAGGACAGATAAGTAAAATAATCCTGGTGGAATACCTCGCTAAACAATCGCTGAACCAGCCTAATATATTTTTAAGAGGAGCCAATCCAAAATTGTAACATTTTTAATGATATCTTTAATTAAGCGGACTCTTCTCGTTAAATTTTCATTGAAAATCGTCACATTTTTGTGCAGATAAAATATTCTAAACTTTCCTTATTTGACAATCTACTATTTGGAGTTCAATATCTGGCAAAACATCGTGATTTCTGCATTAAATTGTTCGAATCATTCGATTGTCACTACTGTAAACAATGGCATTTGCCCCCAGAAATTTAGACTTTTCTCGACTCCCCTGCAAAAGAGCGGTACTAAGTAGATATCTGCGAGGTACTCATTGGTAGTCGCGATATAACGTATTATAGTAACGTATTATAGCTCTCCAGATTGAGATGGCAGGGTAACTGGTAAATTTGTAAAGTGTTAATTACTGTTTTTATAACATCATGCCGTTACCCAGATAGTCCTGTGGTTTTTTTTAATGAAACTAAAACATCACCGTTAAGCACTTTTAATTATAGAATGTCTATATTTTGCCGTTATCTATTAAATTGTATTATCATAAAGAACGTTGTAAATTGTAAATAAAGTGAGGGTTCAGACATAGACTAGTTCTGATTATGGTGACAACGCAGAATTAACTTCTTTAACGTCTGCGTTAGAAAATTATCCCTCACTGATTTCTCAAACAAGATTCATGGTTTTCTTAATTTTTTCTTGTCTATTGAAATTGAAATAAAATATACTTTTATGTACATAAAATTACCCGATCAAAAAAATAAACAAAATGTAACTTCTAACGTCCTTTTAGCCTTTTTGTGTATATGAAAAGAAAATGTAAAAGTGTATGTCTTGATACGACTAACCGGTTAATCGGTCGGAACGTTTTGCGGTTAACCGATTAGCAATTCTGCAAACGATTGCCATCCCTAGTTATATATAAGCTAGCCAAGGGTTTCTGATCCATTATTCTCCTAAAGTTAATATCTAAGCTAGCCAAGAGTTTCCGATTCATTATTCTCCTATGGTTAACATCTTAGCTAGTCAAGGGTTTTTTTTATCAATTATTCTCTTCACATCTTAACTAGCCAGGGGTTTCTGATCCATTTTTTTCTTCACATCTTAGCTAGCCAGGGATTTCTGATCTATTTTCCTCTTAACATCATAGCTAGCCAAGAGTTTCGGATGAATTATTTCACTATGGTTAACATCAAGGCTAGCCAAGGTTTCTGATCCATTATGTTCTTCACATCTAAGCTAGGCAGAGGTTTCTGATCCATTATTCTCCTATAGTTAATATCTTATCTAGCCAAGGGTTTCTGATCCATTATTCTCTTATGGTTATATCTAAGCTAGCCAAGGGTTTCCGATCCATTATTCTCCTATGGTTAACATCAAAGCTAGCCAAGGGTTGCTTTTGATCCATTATTCTCTTCAGATCTTGGCTAGCCAAGAGTTTCTGATGAATTATTGCACTGTGGTTAACATCTAAGGTAGCCAAGGGTTTCTGATCCATTATTCTCCTATGCATGGTTTACATCTTAGTTACCTAAGGGTTTCTGATCCATTATTCTCCTATGAGTAACATCTAAGCTAGCCAAGGGTTTTGATCCATTATTCTCCTATGCATGGTTTACATCTTATTTAGCCAAGGGTTTCTGATCCATTATTCTCCTATGGTTAACATCTAAGCTAGCCAAGGGTTTCTGATCCATTATTTTCTTCACATCTTAGCTAGCCAAGGGTTTCTGACCCATTATTTTCTTCATAACTTATCTAGCAAAGGTTTTCTGATGAATGATTTTACTATGGTTAACATCTAAGCTAGCCAAAGGTTTCTGATCCATTATTCTCTTATGTTAACATCTTAGCTAGCCAAGGGTTTTTGATCCATTGTTCTTTTCAAAACTAAGCTTGCCAAGGGTTTCTGATTAATTATTCTCCTGACAAATCAGCTTGCCAAGGTTTTGTTTTTCTGATCCATTATACTCCTATAGTTAATATCATATCTAGCCAAGCGTTTCTTACCCTTTATTCTCCTATGGTTAACATCTTAGCTAGCCAAGGGGTTCTGATCCATTATTTTACTTTGGTTAACATCTTAGCTAGCCAAGGGTTTTTGATCCATTATTCTACTTTGGTTAACATCTTAGCTAGCCAAGGATTTTTATTTCCATTATTCTCCTTTGTTAACATCTTAGCTAGCCAAGGATTTTTATTTCCATTATTCTCCTTTGTTAACATTTTAGCTAGCCAAGGGTTTCTGATCCATTATTTTCTTCACAACTTAGCTAGCCAAGGGTTTCTGATGAATTATTTTACTATGGTTAACATCTTAGCTAGCCAAGGGTTTCTGATCCATTATTTTCTTCACAACTTAGCTAAACAAGGGTTTCTGATCCATTATTCTCCTAACATCCTAGCTAGCCAAGGGTTTCTGATGAATTATTTTCTTCACAACTTAGCTAGCCAAGGGTTTTTTTGTCCATTATTTTCTTCACAACGTAGCTAGCCAAGGGTTTCTAATGAATTATTTTACTATGGTAAACATCTTAGCTAGCCAAGGGTTTCTGATTCATTATTTTCTTCACAACTTAGCTAGCCAAGGGTTTCTGATGAATTATTGTAATATGGTTTACATTTTAGCTAGCCAAGGGTTTCTGATGAATTATTTTACTGTGGTTAAAATCTTAGCTAGCTAAAGGTTTCTGATCCATTATTCCCTTTACATCTTAGCTAGCCAAGGGTTTCTGATCCATTATTCTCTTCACAACTTAGCTATCTAAGGGTTTCTTATCCATTAATCTCCTCACAACTTAGCTAGCCAAGGGTTTCTGATCCATTATTCTACTTTGGATAACATTTCAGCCAGCCAAGGTTTTCTGATGAATTATTTTACTATGGTTAACATCTTAGCTAGCCAAGGGTTTCTAATGAATTATTTTACTATGGTTAACATCTTAGCTAGCCAAGGGTTTCTGATCCATTATTCTCCTATGGTTAACATCTTACCTTGCCAAGGTTTTTGTGATCCATTATACTCCTAACATCTTTGCTAACCAGGGGTTTTTGATCCATTATTCTCCTATTGCTCGCATCTTAGCTAACCAAGGGTTTTTGATCCATTATTCTCCTATAGCTCGCATCTAATCTTGCCAAGGGTTTCTGATCCATTGTTCTCCAAAATCAAAAAAAGAATTATTTTTATTTATTTTTTTAAATGCATAATGCATTCCAAATTCAAGTTAAACAGGACTATCCTATCAGGCCCAATAATTTTTAAAATTGATAAGCACGTATTTTATTATAAGATAACCAATACCATTCATTCCATCTGTATTAATTCGTTACAGAATCAGGAGTCCGCTGATAATTCTCACCTAAAGGTTTATAAAGAACTGGCCAAGTTACGCCAGAAACCGTCTTTTACGTACAGTAATCTGACGTTTGTGGACCTGGACGACGTCGACGACAATCCGAAAAAAATTCTGTCGTACATCAGGACCCAGCCAAAGGAAGACAAGTATCTGGTAGTCCTGAACTTCGGACATCTGTACGCAAATGACGTGGACCTTAGTAAAAGTGCCGGAAGTAAAAGAGGGGAGGTTGTCGTAAACGCCATGTCTAATTATAAAATGGAAACGGAAGTGGACCTCACACGTATAACGTTATCGCGGGGGCAGGGGCTAGTTATTAAAATCAAGTGAATGTAGTGTATGACTACAATATTAAATTAAGGTGATTTTTAATTAAGGAATTATTGTCATATTCAAAACAACTCATTACCTTTTTACTATACTAGATGTATTATAACGGGGACATGCAATCAGTATCAAATGTGTAAACACGTACATGTACTAATACTTAAAAAATTGTTTGCCAGACTTATAATAAAAGGCAGAAATATCCAGATAAAAATAGTAGTTTTGAATATTTTAACCATCTGTTTATCAGGCGGAGTCGGAAGAAATATATAATACAACATAGGCCATTCTTAAGCCATTCACCATACCATTGCGTCCTCACAATGCCAGGGGTCCTGTGTCCACTCACTGCCGTGGAACCCCTTACAAATTACATTTGATATCTTATGGGTCGACTGCAGCGACGTCTTTCGAAAAAAAAAACAAATCTTGCTTGTTTTTCTTTTCGTGCATTTTAGGCGCATTTGATTTCTGTCTGTTTACATGATTATTTATCTACTTCAATTCGAATGGGAGAGAAGCAAGCCTGGAAAAAATGAAATATGCCAGGGGTCCCACGGCAACGACACAGGAGCCATGGCGGTGTGAGAATAAGTACTAAGACATTGAGGTTATCCAGCTTTCAGTCTGATTCGGAACATAAATACTTTAACATACATAGTGATTTTAAAAAGTAAGCTGATGGGTATCAGCATAATTTTCAAGAAACATAAACCGATATTGTCATCTGCATTTTAATTCCTCCAAATTAAATAGGTACTAAATTAAGAAATTAAAATTACCATAAAGTATCTCTGAATTTATCCACAATGTTTCTTTAAAGTTGAAGATTAAAAGTTAATCATATTATGTAGGGAAGATTGTCAAATGTCCAATATTTTTGCAGAAAAAGTGAATTGGAATATCAGCAATGTATTTTCTATTTGCTAATTGATCAACAAATATATTTTAGGTTAAAAAACAATAGGTATCCAGGCATTCAGAAATTGTCATGATTTTTCTACTTATTTTGTACTTATTGTCGTCTATTTCCGTCATGTATTCTATAATACATAGTGCAAAAGGCTTTTGCTATCATTGCAAGACACCACAAATCACTTCTCATTTCATATCATGCTAATAAACATTGGTATCTAAGGCTGGATTCACGAAAATCTTATTTCTCTAAAACTGTTAGATTTTTTTCCTTTTACATGTATAGGGTACAAATGTCAACTTTTATAAGACATTTTCTAAGATTTCCAAAAACCTTGAAACTTATAAGGATGAATAAAATGAAAATTGTTGCATGAAGAAATTTCATTTTCAAGCTTCATTTTGATCCATTTCAAAATAAATATCAATTTTTTTATTTATCCTTCCTGGCTGATGATCGGATATCCTTAACAGTATAATAATTTGACGAAACAATTAACAGTACAGTGAAGTGACGGTAGGTCAGTCTCAAACACTTTTGTAACCATAAACCTGACAGAATGAGAGTGATAAAACATATATAAATGTTTTACCAATACCATAAAAACATTGTTATCATCATGGAATTAAAAATGCTTTAAAATAACGTCAAACGTCTGTACTTTATCATTAGTTACAAAGTATCTAAAATGGTCATATTTTTATAATACTAGAAAACGTAGAACATGCGACTTTCCAGAATTGAGTTTTCATGAGTATTACATTGTGATTATATGTAGTGAAGCTTTCAATCACATGTTATTATTAATTTCGGTTAAGTGTGAAGTTTTGTATTACGTCACGATCTTTTTCGTCAGATGCATCCAGCTTAAACAATTCACGTGATTGGTCAACTCATATTATCAACAATGACACGGAAATAGTCTGTTGCACGAGCAACCAATCAGGGATAAGAAGAAACTTCCAGTCATAAAGCTTGCGGTTAGGAGGCGTGTACTATTTACCTTGAGCGCAGCTGTCAAACTAGATCGTGACGTAATGTAAAAATTCACACTTAACTGCAAACTATAATATTCAAGATTGTACCTGTCATTCATATTTTAATTTATTTGTCGTATGCTTCAGATTGTGAATTTTGTTTGATTAATAAGTTTATTTCCATATAACTGATAAATGAATCATTGGGCCGGAATTAAAAATATCTTTGTTTCCCGTAACCCGACCCTAAATTCTCAAGTTGGGTCGGTAGGTAGGTAAACAATTTTATTTTCTGACAGCAGCTTTGAAAATACATTCCAAAATTTGATGGAAAATTGCCTTTATAAAATAAGAAAAGTACAAAAGAAAGCGATTTGTGAACAAAATGTTAAATTATCACATACATATGCCGTTTAAAAGCAAAATTCCTGATTAATTAATTCACAACTGTTATCTAGTTGAACTTGTGAAATATCTCACGCCATTACATTTATATGAATTAAATAAAATAGACAAGATTCTCATATAGGCAAAGAGATACGAGTATATTTTTTCAAACCTTTCATCGGCCTTCAGAGCTTATAGATGATCAATGTACTTTTTGAGGGCCATGAGATTTGCAGTGGTTCTGGAGCATTTTGCTTTGGAGTTTAGAAGTAAGTGGCTGATTTTAAATCGCAGGTTCAAATCACCAATGAGTAACGTTGAAAACGGTCCTTCAAAGGGGACCATAAAAACTTATGTCCAGTGTCGCAGAAGATGCTGGCTCAAAAAAGACTACCCACTGCTTAATGACAAAAAAGTGCTGAGTATGTCTAAATGGGGAAATGTTTAAATTTCGTCCTAACAAATCTCGAAGGAATTAAAAGCAAAGAAACAACCAATCTTCAAGGGCCTAATTAAACAAAAATACACTGGACGTCTCAGGAAGCTGAATCATGATTTCAAAACTATTTGGAAAGAGTATGTTAACAATATCTAGTTGAACCAAACCGAATGTACAAATGATAAAAAATGCTATATACAATGTCATAGTCACGAAGTTTAACCACTAAATAAAGGCATTAAGAAAGGACATCTGAATTATATTTATCAGGATGAATATACAGACATATTTACAACAACTCCTATGGTTCCATAATGGCAAATAGTAAACATAGGAACATAGATGAACTGGTTATTAGATCAAAACTCATTTAAATAAAATGCAGTGAAATTGAATGATGCTTTCACTAGGTGGCCCCCTCATCTACTCATGAGGCGGTCCTAACCATGTTTTACGTACCTTAAATTCAAAGACAGGTTTGTTTGTTGTTTAACGTCCCTTTCGAAAATTTATTCACTCACATGGAGACGCCAAGACACCTCCGAAACACTCTTAATTATTCATGGTAAATTTTATTATCGAATTGTTTCAAGAGTGAAGAATTCCAATTAGCTAAAAGCATAAGATTGAGACGTCGCCATTGTTTTATGAAGAGCTAATGCCCTGTAATCACATCTGGACGTCATTTTGTTACCAACAAATGCTTGAAAATCACAGTAGAACAATGTCCGCCGTCCTGATAAAAACTGATTTTGATGAAATTGTATTTTATAAAACTTGGTTAACAATAAAAAAATATTTGAATAATCTTATTTAAAAAAATCTTTTCAGTCGGCGCGATGTAATTGGGTCGGTCGTGTTAGGGGAAACAAAGATATAAAACAAAAAATATCAGCTTCAAAAATTGATGTAATGAATACTTTACAGTGATAGCTGTCTTTCCACATAATAATTGATGGAAAACTTCAAGTTACATACCTAGCACTCTGAATATTTATGGTTTCAGGGTTTACTTTATTTTTATGCCCTCTTCCATGAAGGGAGGGCATATTGCTTTGCTGCTTTTTGTTGCCCGGTCAGTCTGTCTGTCCACCAACAGTTTCCATTAACTTTCTTTGCAGAGTTTGCACATGAAATATTCCAGTTGTTGGGGTGGGGGAATAAGTGTTTCACAAAACATATCTTGTTTAATTAACATTATGAAGTAAATGTTTAAAAACAAATGGAATCAAATTGTTTTCTTAAATGTATTTGTATTGATTTGAAGAAAAATTTATCTGCCATAACATTTTCATATAGAAAATGGGTTTATAAACAAGGAATTTTATGCATGATGTAATGATATTAGCAGGTTTTTGTAATGGTGCATATTTACACCAATACTTTTATGAGAGCATGTTATAGCATGCAAAATTTATATATTTATTTTCAATCTTACAGTAACACTCATTTACTATTGACAAAAATACTGCGAATTCTCTTAAAATGGAAAATACTTGGTTATGTTGAACCGTGACTGGGTTAGGTAGTTTAAAGACTTGGTTATGTGGAACCGTGACTGGGTTAGGTTGTTTAGAGACTTGGTTATGTTGAACCGTGACTGGATTAGGTTGTTTAGAGACTTGGTTATGTTGAACCGTGACTGGGTTAGGTTGTTTAGAGACTTGGTTATGTTGAACCGTGACTGGGTTAGGTTGTTTAGAGACTTGGTTATCTGGAACCATGACTGGGTTAGGTTGTTTTTAGACTGGGTTATGTAGAACTATTACTGGGTTAGGTTGTTTAGAGAGTTGGTTATGTTAAACCGTGACTGGATTAGGTTGTTTAGAGATTTGGTTCTGTTGAACTGTGACTGGGTTAGGTTGTTTAAAGACTTGGTTATGTTGAACTGTGACTGGGTTAGGTTGTTTAGAGACTTGGTTATGTTAAACTGTGACTCTGTTAGGTTGTTTATAGACTTGGTTATGTTAAACCATGACTGGGTTAGGTAGTTGAGAGACTTGGTTATGTTGAACAGTGACTGGGTTAGGTTGTTGAGAGACTTGCCCATGACTGGGTTAGGTAGTTGAGAGACTTGGTTATGTTGAACAGTGACTGGGTTAGGTTGTTGAGAGACTTGGTTATGTCAAACCTTGACTGGGTTAGGTTGTTTAGAGACTTGGTTATGTTAAACTGTGACTGTGTTAGGTTGTTTATAGACTTAGTTATGTTAAACCATGACTGGGTTAGGTAGTTGAGAGACTTGGTTATGTTGAACAGTGACTGAGTTAGGTTGTTGAGAGACTTGGTTATGTCAAACCTTGACTGGGTTAGGTTGAACCGTGACTGGGTTATGTTAAACTGTGACTGGGTTCGGTAGTTTATAAACTTGTTTATGTGGAACTGTGACGCGTTATGTTGAACAGTGACTGGGATTTGTTGTTCAGTGGCTGGGTTACACTGTTCAGTGACTGGGTTCTGTCTAGTTGCAATAATGTAGCCCTCTTCGTTTTTTTTATCTGATATTTTCTGGAGAGGGCTTCAATTCCACAGCATCTCCGTAATGGTGCAGAATTTTTTTTAAATACGGGCGACTGCAGGCAGTACAAACTGTTTTTACATTCAGCTTACTTCTGATAAGACGAAAGTTTTATTCACTGTCGACATCATAGCTCGTTGAACGCGAAAACCATGTAAAATAAATCTGTGTGATTGCTTGTCGCTTTTTCAGCAGCCATGACAGTTCACGCGTGACGTACCGAGACTTTCGCTTGAAATTTAGAACAACTAAATAAAGCAATTGTCGATGTTTATAAATAATTGTGATGAATAGTAACACTAAACGTCGATAAATTAAATCATTCCATGTGTCATTTTTCGTAAACAGCGATATTTAAGCTTAAAATAAGGTAATTCCAAAGAAATCCGCTCCTATAGATCCTTAATCTTAATGGCTGTCCCAAAATAAAATCTGTCAAGGTCAGTAAACATGGCGGATAAATTCAAGTTGTGATGTTGACATTCAAGAAAAATACGTATATATGGATTGTTCTGTATATTTTTGGATCGATTTTTGTCCGGGATAACCATAATTTGAAAGTCCAGGTAAGACATATAGGGCCTAAATAAAAAAGCCGTTTACTGACATTTTGAGCTGAAATCCCTGCGGGAATGAATCGCTCCCGCTTTGCACCATTACGGAGATCCTAAGGAGTTGTAGCCCTCTCCCAAAAAAAAAAAATTTAAAGGGCTACATTATTGTTTTCGATTATAATGTTTTTTATTGACTGAGTTATGGTGATCAATTTATTAGATTATTATAACAGTGACTGGGTTATGCTGAACACCTATATCATGGTATATTGCTCGTTGAACGTTATTTACTTCTAGCACCTATAATTCCTATTATCCCAGGTTCACATTAAAAGATAATTACTTATCTTTATGGGTTGGACTCCTTATATATACCTTCTTTTTGTCTCGGAAGATTAACATACTTATTAATGGTAATGATATTTTGCAGTGTGTACACACATACTAAGTATAGTTCACGGTCTACTTTGGCATTGCCCATATAGTACTGATACTGATAGGTAATGAAAACACAGTCTATTAATAGTTATGTTTACTATTAAATACCACAAACTTCGTGAAGTCGTACCTGGGTGTCATAATATTAAGTCTCCGATTATCGTTCGAAATTAAGTTGCCAACTTGCCATACATATCGTCATAAAAGTATATGCATCAGGATCGAACATGTGTTTTATAACAGAAAAACATACCGGAGATAATATTCCCGGAAACCGTGACTGAGTTATGTTATAGACTCTACCGGTATTGAACTTGGTGTAAGTATATTAAAGATACTTGGACACAGATTTGAAGGTAATTTTTTCTGTATAAATATTACGACTTATATATTTTAATAGATTTCACACAAAAATTGATAAAAAATCTTATTTCGTTTAAAAGTTATTAGAACTTCAAATTTTTGGCGGGTTTGATTGACACATCCCTGCACTTTCACAAATCTTAAGTTTACTCTTAATACTTAGGAAAAGTGGCAACGTTGTTGTGTATAAATGAAAAATATATTAATACTATAATCCAGAAAAATCAGAGAAGAACATGTTCGAAAGCAAAACAAACACACAATATATTCTCAGTCCGTGCAGTTGTGGTGAGCAGACTTTGACGATTGAACGCACCCGGTGAATCGTAAACAATCAACAATAATAAAGCTCTTGTCCTGTTTACAAAAAATGTGTACATAACACGAGTGTGATCGATTTGCACACAAGACTTAGTTCGGAATGACGGTACTTGTGAAGGAATTTTGCTTTGTAACATTTCTACGCTGAATAAAATTGTTTTTGTGGATTAAAGTTTTAATATTTCTCATTAATACACAAAAAGATTGCCACTTTTCCGAAGGGTTAAGAATAAAGTTAAAATTTGTGAAAGTGCAAGGATGTGTCAATCAAACCCGCCAAAAACTTTGAAGTTTTGATAACTTTTAATAAATGAAAAAAGATTTTTAATTAATTTTTTTGTGAAATGCTTGTAAAATATATAAATCGTGATATTATACAGAAAATATTAACTTCAAATCTGTGTCCAAGTCCTTTAATTGCTGCATACGTAAGGGAAGTTGATGACTGAAAAGTTATAAAAATTATCACGGTTATCAAAAAGCTTGTTGTAATAGTGTTCAATTTCCATGTTTCTTTTACAAAATGTCAAATAAAAAACAGTAGTAACAAGTTTGGATTTGTTTGATTAAACTGATCTTTATTAAATATAGTAGCATGACGACACCTTAGATTTTGTTTAAAAATATTTTTAATCCGTATGGACCACCATACTAGTTCAAGAGCGCCATCTACTTTTCCAAATAAGGAAATGTTACTCTATTAAGGCACGACGTATCTCATTAGTTCATTGACCACTATTGGATATATAGTAACTACTGTACTATCGTAGCGTCATAATTTGTTATTATCGGTGAATTTTCCCAAAAACGCACAAGGATAACTTTTGGGATTAGCTAAAGAACTTTGGACAGGTGTTTTACAGGTAAGACACTCCTATTCTACAACATACCGGCGTATTCAAGGCCAGGCTTTGGGGATCTTACAAAAAATTTTAAAGATATATATAATAATAATAATAGCATGTTTATCTTTCACTTGCTGTTTTTTCTTGTAGATTGCATATTTCATAAGTTTATCTTTATTAATTGAAACGCATGCACACTGACTTTGCTGTTAATTAAATGTGTGCCGAAAACACATTGAGGATTTCACGCCATGTGCCATGCTCGGCTACCTTTCTATGCGAGGAATGTCCGTCACGCTGCAGTGCCACATTCCTCATTCCCAGCGCTTCTTCACTCACATTCATGTTTGTGCCCCTTTGATGGAATTATATATTGATTAATACTGATAAAAATGGCCTCTCTTGAGAGAGGCACTGCAAAGTTTCATTTTTTGAATTTTTATTTTATTGTTTTACCTCGTCAGCAGTGCTTCCATTGAATAATTCGATGTAATCAGAGAAAGTGATTGAAACCCGTCGCACCTTGTCAATGTATAGACATGTCTAGAGGACATATTAAAAGCAGGAAGAAGGGCAAAACGACCACCCATAAAGAGATTAGCCATTCACTAACAAAACAAAGGCTATGTTCAAATTGTTTAAAGTTCTCTCAAACGTTTATTGATATTTGTGCCATAAACTCCCTAAAATGATACATAGATTGACTTGTCACACCCCTCTGACCTCATTTTTATTGGAAAATATGGTACTCAACTGTGCATTTGTTTAGTTTGGCTTTTTTCCAATATATTTTATGAAAATGGTACAATTTAAATCACCTGCTAAAAGTAACTGAAAACTAACAATTGACGTGGTCAGTATATCGTTTCTAGAAAGCATATGATTAATGAACTTCCTGTTGAGCCAACTTTTCACCGGAGCTGGAGTATATTTCCTGCTATATGAAAGCAAATTCTTTGTCATTAAGTATGTTATTTGTCCATACATAAAGAATTCTACTATCGCAAGTGGTTGAAACGGCATATAGCTGGATTATCTACACTCTAAAACAGTTTTAAGCCAATGCAAATCCAGTGTAATTCTCTTGTATATCTAAATATGACATTTTGTAAAATGTGTGAATTTGTAAAACGCTTGGCGTACCATAATTCTGTTTTCTGCCGAGAATGCTTGTGTTCACTTAGTACTTGGATTAAGAGTCCCACAACTATCTAGAAACCGGGCTCTCGCATTGGGCTTTTCTGAATGGACACTCTCACGACGTGTTATGTTTTCAGATTAAAGTAAACACTTGAAGAAAATCAACTTTTAAAGATTCGAGATATTAAAGAGAATATCCACGGTGCGAAGGGAGTTAGTCTGGAAATACCTTCAGATCGAGATAAGACTGTAAAATGAATGATAAATACAGATTTATTATGTAACTAATCTGGCGTCATACCATTTCTGCCATGATTGTTAATTTGTTTCCAGAATAAACGGCTCCTTAAGCACCTTCCCAATTCTTAATACTGTTAAATATGAAAAGTTCTGTATTTAGCTAATGCCTGGAATAATTTAAATAAAACAGTGAAATCTCATGATTTGTTTTCCGCATTACATATAGTTATTGATTCTTTGATATTTGAACATATATATTGAATATAATATATATATATATATATATATATATATATATATATATATATATATATATATATATATATATATATATATATATATATATATATATATATATATTTCAAAAGGATTTGAAACATTCTGAATATTTACTAGCTTGTCTCTTTATATACCAGATATTACAATATGTCATGAAAATTTAAGAAATTATTGCAATTATTACAATACTTTAGTGATATGAGCGTCGGAAGCAAATTGAAAGGGGGGGCTAAACCAACAGAAAAGGTAAAACCCAATTTTCAATGCCTATATTATGTCTATTTTTGCAAAAAAAAAAAGTGGAGGGGGGCTAAGCTCCCCCACCGCCTAGCCCCCCCCCCCGGTTCTGACGCCTATGAGTGACAAGCAATTTAATAAAATGTCAATTTAGAGAATCTACCAGTTTGGTCAATTTTTTTTTCCCGAACATAACATCTTTCTATCGAATCAAAAGACCGCCTGTCCTACACATGTCCTACACATTTAGGATCGTTGACAATATGGGATCTTCTTTCCCTCTTTAATGTGCGTCGATTCAGATTACCGTGAAACTTGAGATGTCATGTCGGTAACTGAAGAAGATTTATATGCTCCTGTGCTACTTACTTTCTTGACATTCACCTTGATTCTAGGTGAAAGTGAGGGTCCTACACTTACATATAACAAAGATTTACACTCGGGATTGTTTTAAGGGTAAAAAAGACATTTACATATATCATGACTTAATGGTCGAAAATCGGGATTCTCTATAGTGAAAAAAATTCTTACCTACAGTAGCACAATATTTAGCGAGGATTTAATTTTAGCATTATTAGCGAGGGTGCTGAGATCGTTAAAATTGAATATCGCTAAAAAATAATTGTTTTAATTGTAATGGCATCTTTAATGAGACTTTAATGTAGCATATATTACATCTCGCTAAATATAAAATTATACTCATTTTTAAGGACAAAGCGCTAAATTTGCGTCTTGCTAAAATTTCCACTTACATGTATACAGTAATGATAGTGGATTTGTTATGATACGGTTATCAAACAAGCATGAGTAGCATGGTCCAGTTACATTTTTATATCATATCAAAATTTTCCTGTCAAAAGCTACAGTTCAGCTGATGTAGTGAAAATCACGCTTCTCTATCAAAGTTATAAAGAATATTTCACATCGCCCTCCTGTTACAAGAAGTGAAATACACACAAGTACGAAAAAAATGATAATTTGAGGGGTGTGTATGCTTTGGTATAATTCATACGCGGTTCAAATCATAACTTCTCAATAGAATTTACAACCCCTCATCGTCAATAGCTGGCGTCTTATTATGAATAAAAAATTAAACAAATGCCAAGAAATTGAGAATGTGTTTACAGTTGTATTTTAAATAAAATCTGTTGTTTTTCTTCAGGTGCCATGGCTCATAGGCCCCATGCCTTTGGATTGACTGGGGAGGTGCAAAGAAAGGTGAGAAATGACAAAGAATTATCGGGGAATAACAGAGAAAGATATAAAGGGGGTGGGGAGGGGGTATCGGTGATTAGTAGAAAAACGTAAGAAAAGACGAAAAATTACCGAATTGCAGAGAAGATGAGAAAGGGCAGACAATTACTGGATGTTTACCGGAAATTTGCAGAGAAATATAATTTTAAAAAGGCGGGGAATCGCAGAGAAATGTTAGAAAAGGCAGAATTTAGTGGGAAGGTGCAGAGAAATATAAGAAAGGGTAGAATTTACTGGGGACGTTTACATGGAGAAATATAAGAAAGGGCAGAATTTACTGGGGACGTTCATATCGAGAAATGTAAGAAAGGGCAGAATTTACTGGGGACGTTCAGATCGAGAAATATAAGAAAGGGCAGAATTTAATGGGGACGTTCAGATCGAGAAATGTAAGAAAGGGCAGAATTTACTGATTAGGAATGTTGGAGATGCATGGGGACGTTTAAGGAAAGGGCAGAATTTAATTTACTGATTAGGGCAGAATGTTGGAGATGCAGAAATGTAAGAAAGGACAGAATTTAATTTACTGAAATGTAAGATAGGAATGTTGGAGATGCAGATTAAGGAGGGCAGAATTTACTGATTAGGTATATTGGAGATGCAGATTAAGGGCAGAAAATTATGAAACAAAGGATGCAGATTGGGAAAGATAAGATGGGCCAGGATATATTATAGCAGAGTGCAGACTTTTCACTTTTTTTCTTTTTAAATCTGGGGTCGACACACCCTTTTTCTATTTTTTAGTCAAATGTGCACTACTTCATATCGATAATGTAACTCTTTTATCTCTGTAAGCCGTTTTTAAATATATGTGTATCAGTCGAAAACGATATATTTAAAAAACGGCTTGTAGAGACAAAAATGAAGGGGGAGGGGGGGGGGTTCCAGCCCTCAAGAGCCTGTGAGTGGAGAGAAAGATACAAGGGACAGAATTAAAAAAAAAAACGGTACATGAAACGATTTTAGAATGGGCATATGATAAGCTGAATGTGAAAAAGTTTCATAAACTTTTTTATTTAAAATATCAGAAAACGTGTGTTCATGTTTCTTAAAATTGTACATTATTTTCTCAGATCAAAGGAAAGTACAGTGAAGAACTGGAACAAGGCGCCCGGCTATGGATAGAAGCTGTGTTAGGGATTGAATTGGTTCCAGTAAGTTTATATATTAAAAAAATGCTTAATAAAAAATTATAAGAGGGCATATACTGCAAGGCTTTTTCCTGTTGCATTACTTCGACCCCGTAAAATTTTCGCTCAACTTCAGTTCATCACAGAAATTAATAAACAAAAAAAAAATTGTTGTCCATACCTTATTATTTTCTTTTTAAGGGAGCGGATCAAAATACGCCTCTAGGGGAACGGGCATTTCAGGAAGCTCTAAGAAATGGTGTTATTTTGTGCAAGTACGTTTAGAGAAACAAAATAACTTACTTCAATAATGATTTCAATAACTTTATTCGTGCATTTAATATTTTAAAAATTCAAATATTTTTTTTTTATTTTGATGTTACATTTCTTCTTTTTCGTCTTCTTCAGGTTAATGAATACAATAAAACCAGGTTCTATAAAGAAAATAAATGAAAACACTATGGCCTTTAAAATGATGGAGAACATAGAAAATTTTCTGAAGGCAGCGGAGGCTTATGGGTGTAAAAAGATCGATCTCTTCCAGGTGGTAGATTTATATGAGCGACAGAACATGACACAAGTTGTGAATGGAATATATGCCTTAGGAAGACTAGTAAGAAACCAGAATTATATATTCTATGAGTGTCATTCAGTTTATTGATGCATTCAGTTTATTCTTTTTCAAATCTTCAATTTTTTTTCGTAATTTTCAATATGCCTGAGTGCCAGGTATTTGATAAATTTGCAGCCAGTGGTGGTGTCTCCATATGAGAGAAAAATTCTCGAGAGGGACGTTAAACAACAAAAAAACAAACGATCAGAAAAAAGTATCTGAAAGTATTATAATTTATACATATATTTCTATTTATAGACTCAGAAGAACGGTTTTCAGGGTCCTGCCTTAGGGCCCAAGGAGGCTGATTATAATCCTAGAAATTTTGATGAAGAGACAATGAAGGCAGGAGAAACTGTGATAGGGTTACAGGCGGGGTCAAATCGGGGGGCCTCGCAAAGTGGGATCAACTTTGGTAAAACAAGATCAATCCTGGACTGACAGCATCGCCACTGTAAATTGTAAAATGTGAGATCCGCCACGGGCTTCCAGCCGCCATCGCTAGTGCCATCTGCTGTCAGATAATCATATTACAACTTGTTCAGTATTATTCAATGAACCAAAGTCAGCTGACGTTCTATATGATATAATCATTGATGATATTGCTACAAATGTATAAGAGAAAAATATAGCAGTAGTTCACAGGGGAAAATTCTACAAAACTATCACATATGTAGTGAAATGTGTCAAATGAGTCAAAATTATAGAGCACATATTTAAGCATTCATGTTTGTGTATTCTGGTACTATCTGTAGTATGTAGCATTTTAAATCAAATAACCGGTTTTCGTTTAACATTTACTATAATGTAATGAGAAATCAAAATCGTTTTTATTGCATAATTAAGTCTTAATAATCAATACGTATATGAACTGTTAACTTTGCAAGTTTGCTAAAGTGAAACCAAATTTTTATACGCAAATATATTACTGGTTTTGTAAAGTTTTACAAGGACAGCTTGATGAAGAATGAGAGATTAATATTTGAATGTTTAATAGCCATGCATTTATAAGAAAATCATCTATTAAGATATGCAAGACGTTCAAATCTAATCAACTTTTAACGCGATCTGGATTTAATTCATTTCATTGTATTTAGTTTCATTAATTGCCTTGAACTTGATCCACAATTTACAGTTATAATTGTGTTTTCTTCCAATCGTGAAAGAAAACAAAAAAAGCTATAAATGTTTTGACTAAATAATAATTATTTTTAAAAAGTCAAGAAAACTAGTCTGAGTGAACTGATCTGATCCCAGGAAGTGTTTTAAGTTATACACATGACACGATAAATATATGTACATTTATATGTAACCATCACTGTCTCTGTAATTATTATATGCTACTTTGTTTTAACAATATTTTGTACGATATATATATTGTACATGTATCATTCTATTAAAGTTACCATTTTACCATTGTTCGTAATTTAGGTCTGCTATAAATAACCGTTTCAGGTTATCACATCTTACTGGCTCGAATTCGATAACAGCTCAACCATTTATGTTGCAGTTTATTATATTTATCAGTTTCTTTGAGTGTTTTGAATTATAAATGTATGATGGATTGAATACAGAAAAGAAAAAGGGGGATTTTGCACAAACTTTTAAAGTGCAAATTCAGGTCTGAAAGTTTAGAATTCTTTGGTGTATCAGGTTCCTGTGAAATAGGAATTGGTCAGTTGGAGATATTTTCCCGATATTAGTTTTGATTGCTAAAAATAACTAAGGACACTCGGGATGTATGTGTGTCACTATACCCCCCCCCCCCCCAAAAAAAATCCTTGCAAAGGGCAATTTTACGTATATTAACCAAAGGTTGATATTCAAAAGATGCTTGAATTTTTGATTGAAAATATTAGCTACAGAACTGTAGCTCTCCGAAAAAATATATTGACAGACCGGAGAGCTACAGTGCCACCCATTGGAAAAATTGTATATTTATTGCACGCAAAAAATGCGTTTTGTTCTGGGTTAATTCTTAGAAATGCTTACCTCAATTGCGAAAAAAAAATAGTTTAAAAAAAAATCTTTACTCCTCTATCAAGTACTCTCGTGGTTGACATCTGCATGAAGTGCGTTGGACGGAATTATCTTGCAAACCAAAATGGCAGTATAAATAGACCGATGTTCTCAATTTCAGGGCCAGGACGGCTATTAACAACAATTATAAGGAATGGTTTTTTTTATGGAAACGGTGACAGCTAGAATATGTTAGGAACACATGGTTAGTAATGTTTTGAGATGACAGTTTAAAAACACGGAGAAATGAATCGAGAAACAGCGCACTTTTTGTGGGCAATACATAATACAGTTTTTTAAATGGATGCCACTGTAGCTCTCCGGTCTGTCAATATATTTTTTCGGAGACCTACAGTTCTGCAGCTATAAAAATATCAATGTGGTTTTAGAGAACATGTCTTCCAACAATTCATTTGATCGAATGAGGTAAGTTATTGACAAACAAATTGATGAAAAAGAATATATCTATTTTCTATTTGTCTTCTCTGTGATAACTATATTTAGCTGATTCTTAATACAATTCTCTGTTTTCCTTGGACTTTCAAGAAGATGTTGCATTCTCGACTTTACATAATTAGCGTCTAAATTTTACACAGCCTTTCATTCACTGATGAAATATTCATGGGATAAAAATTCGGGTTAATGTCAACGAGTGTAGCAAGTATCCAATCACGGCGCTTCGTCCCAATATACATGTAAATCTCATGTGGCTGTTTGACGCCAGTGGGCGGGAACTATTCAAATTGACATGGGAGGCCTCGTGTAAGTTAAATATATTAGTCTACGTTTTTAAAGTTTAAATTTGCAATTTTATTTCACAATGAAATGTAAATATAAGCAATCACTGTCTGGATAGTAGAGTATGCCATGGATATAATAAAAACGATAGTTGATATCCTTGGGATACTGTAATTACCGTAATGTATTACGGGCTTCTTCTGTTATGCATATTATCCCACGTTTCCAGTTATCGTTGATGGTTAATATTATACATTTATTCACTGAGTTCGAGGGCAACATGCGTTTTGTCGGACCCAAGAACAAAACTGTCTGCCTGAGGCCGTAAGGCAGACAGTTTGGTTCGAGGGTCGACAAAATGCATTTTGCGCGAGAACTCGGTCAATAAATGTTTTGTTATACCTTTCATTTTATTTAACTTTTTTGACATACAAATATATTATACTGTCTTCCGTGATGTTACATCAGATCCGTCACTGTTGAACACCACCAACATCTTCGCTAGCCAAGGGTGACAATCCGCTCCTCTCCTCGATAAGGGGAGAGGAACGGATCGTCATCCTTGGCTAGCGAAGATGCACCAACAATTGCTACGGTGTTACGGTGACGTCTCTATATGAGTGAAAAATTCTCAAGAGGAACATTAATCAATATACAATCAATTAATTAATCATACCAACTCAACCATATCCAAGTTTTTAGGGGGATCTGCGTTTTATTTTTATTTTTTTTGGGGGGGGGGCAAGGTCACTTTTGACTTGGTTAAGTATGTAAATTTAATAACTCTGCAAATTCCATTGGGTCGGACCCCCGACCCCCCTCTAGCGCGTAGCCAGGCGCACGTTTGTACGCACAAACGTCAACATCATTTTGAAAAAAAAGGCTCGGAGAGAAGGGGGGGGGGGCGTAATTTCCATGTGCGCTTGTATGCTTTTAAAGAATATGTATTATTTTGCAATAGATATATAATTTTAAGAACTAAAAAAAATTTGAAACAATATAAAGAACGATATATAATTGCAAAAATAAATGAGAATTTACAGAACCGATTTTAGGGACAAACTCCATACAGTGTCAATTCTCTGGGACTACTTTCCCTACGAATAATGGTATGGAAATGTGGCGTAACGTAATACTGAGCTGTCTTGAGTTTGTTTTAGGGAAAATGCGATAGTATACACCTCTCTGAAAACATTAGTTTCTCGGAATTTACACCCAACATTTTAGAGAAAATCTCGTATAATTATGACGTTACAATTTCATTTGTGTGGGTGGATTGTGTATTATGACGTCACCTTTGATGTCATAATGTCGGATTTAGTTGAAATCACATCAAATATTGAAGAGGTAATTTAACAACAATATTACGAGACCTGTGTATATAGAACGTAAATAACTTGATAATTAACAGAAGTGTAGTGTATATTATTAATCACTTAAATTAAACGTTTATTTAATATTTAATATATTTTAAGATTAAGGACGATGACAAAAACTTAACGTAATTAAGAATGTAAAGGGAAAACACGCAACGATTTGATTTTAGTTATAACTGTTTTGATTTTGGCCTATGTTGATACTAGTAATCTATTTAAATTTCGCACCCGTTTCACTAATTAATCACGTGTTCGGTAGAGAGTCGACGGAAGTAGAAGTACGTGATCAACGGAAGAGAGTCAAAATCCATGGACGCCGTTGTTTGATAGAAGGACTGAAGGTTATTGATCAGTGAGAGGGAGAAGTTTCTGATCAAGAATTTGTCAGGATTGTTTTACAATCTACGTCTCACCATGCCGCCGAGCCGCCCAGTGACAGGCTCCAACAAGGCTCGTAAAAAACTCATCCGTCCCAGTTCGGCTTCTGCCAATCTTCACTGTTATTCTATTAGTGTACTTGACAATGGCCAAAGACCTGCTACTGCGGCTACGTCTGGGCTGCTTTCAGACAAACCTCCCAGACCCACCACCCAGGCAGGAGGGTCCAGGAAACAATGGGAACCGCCAAAAGAGGACAACTCTTTCATTGAGGCGGCAAAACAGCCCCGTCGGTTAACTCTTGGGGCTGTGGACGGAATTCAGGAATTGGAATCCATCAAACGACCTGGAAGCATCCAAGGATCTGTTTCACAGCAACTGAAAAATAAGGTAAGATGAATTTTGTTTTTGCATTCGATATTAAATTATTCATGTTTTGAGACGACCATGTCAACATGTTCTTAGTTTATATGACTCTTGCTCGAAATCACTGTTTTTCAGCACAGAAGACTGGTTATTTAAAACACATGATTTTATTCAAATTAATTATTGATTTTTTGCTTAAACTTTAAGTATGAAAAGGTGTAATATTCTTTGTGCTTTTTTTACGAGAGTGTTGTTATATGTAAGCGTCTAGTCAAAAATGGCGATTGTTGTAGCAACTGTGTACTTCCGGTTCATATCAGGGACCGGTTTAAAAAGCTAAAATATTATTTGTGTGCGAAGTTGCAGACAATTTTTTTTTTTATAATTTTGATTGAAAAAAGACAAGTATTTCAATAGCTTTAGGAAATAAGTCGTGTATCTAACTGAAAAAAGTAAACATAAAATTCTGAAATTTAGAGGCTTTGCTTGTTTTACACGTGTTTCTGCTGAAATATATCACTGCCCAGTTGCACATTTAGCTAAAGTTGCAATATCCTATTTCAATTTCCCCCATCAAAAACATCAACAACAACAAAAAAAACCAGACTAAGTAATACAAACAATATTATCTTGATATAATTCCACCCATATAATTAGGAATCTACGATATTTTAAAATATATCAATCTATAAGTATAAGTATAATTATATAGACAATTTGTCTTCATATAGGTTGGGACCAATCAACCAAATAGGATATAATAGCCTACTTGGGATATAATATCCCCAATTTGAATATGAATTAATTTATTTTGCAACAAGATGTGTTTCTGAAACACTATGCGCCCGGCGGCAACAAAGTTCGAAAAAAGCTATTTTTAGCATATAGGTCACAGTCAAGGTCACTAGGTCATTGACCTGGGTGTCATTTGAAAGAACTTGATTAGTGGAGAATGCGTAGCAAATATGAAGTCTCTATCTTTTATGGTTCAAAACTTATGGCGAAGGTTAAAGTTTGCAGAAAAAAAACTATTTTTCGCATACAGGTGACAGTCAAGGTCACAAGGTCATTGACCTTGGTGTCACTTGAAAGAGCTTAATTAGTGGCGTATGCATACAAAGTATGAAGTCTCTATCTTTCATGGTTCAAAAGTTATGGTGAAGGTTAAAGTTTGCAAACAGACAAACAAACAAACTGACAAGCAGACAGACAGGACAAAAACAATATATGCTCCGGATCTATCGATCCAGACGCATAATAAATACATGCTTGCAGTCTGAATAGTATAAAAGATATTTTTGTTACATGTTCAATCATATGCATTAAGACTCTATAATTTTGAGCTCACCAGAGCCAAAGGCTCAAGTGAGCTTTTCTGATCACATTTTGGCCATCGTCTGTCCTTCCATCTGTTTGTCCGTCTGTAAACTTTTCACATTTTCGACTTCTTCTCAAGAACCACTTGGTCAATTTTAACCAAACTTAATACAAAGCATCCTTGGGTAAAGGGGAGATTAAATTGTTAAAATGAAGGGCCAAGTTCCCTCACAAGGGATGATAATCAAGAAAAGACAAAAATAGGGTGGTGTCTTTAAAAAAATCTTCTTCTCAAGAACCACCAGGCCAGAAAAGCTAAAACTTATGTGGAAGCATCCTTGGGTAGTGTAGATTCTAAATTGTTCAAATCATGACCCCCAGGGGTTAGGCAGGGCCACAATAGGGAATCAAAGTTTTACATAGAAATATATAGGAAAAAACTTTTAAAAATCTTCTTCTCAAGAACCACTGGGCCAGAAAAGCTGAAACTTATGTGGAAGCATCCTGGGGTAGTGTAGATTCTAAATTGTTCAAATCATGATCCCCAGGAGTTGGGCGGGGCCTCAATTGGGAATCAAATTTTTACATAAAAAAACTTTAAAAATCTTCTTCTCAAGAACCACTGGGCCAGAAAAAGCTGAAACTTATTAGAAACATCTTCGGGTAGTGTAAATTTTAAATTATTCAAATCATGACTCCCAGGGGTAGGGCACGGCCACAATTTGGACTCCAAGTTTTACGCAGAAATATATAGGAAAAAACATTTTGTCAATAAATACTGGGCCAGAAAGGCCAAAATTTATGTGCAATTATTCTATTCTGAGATAGTGTAGATTCTAAATTCTTCAAATCATGACCCCTTGGGTAGGGTGGGGCCACAATAGGGAACCCAAGTTTTACATTGAAATATATAGAAAAAATCTAAAAATATTCTTCTCAGGAACTACTGGGCCAGAAAAGCTTAGACTAATGCGAAAGCATAGTTGGGTACTGGGTAGTGTAGATTTTAAATTGTCCAAATTATGACATGTTTGGTAGGGTGGGGTCACAAAAGGTATTGCAACAGAGAAATCTGGAAAAGAACGGGATGGTCAAAGCTATTCAGGTGAGCCATACGGCCCATGGGCCTCTTGTTTGCAAATGATATAATATTTTTTCCAAAACAAATTATTGCAAATAAATGTGATCCAGAACAATTTGATTAATATGAACAGTTTCTTACTGACTGAACTCTCTGATTATCAAATGGAATGAAATGCATATACAAGTGTACATTTCTTCCCTCAATTAATTCTCAGTCAAAGTAAACCAAAACTATTTACATTAAATATAGGTGTTTATCATGGAGTGACTTACAGATATATACATGTACATACCAGTAGTGGATTGTTATCACTCACGAAGCCCACAAATACAACTGGGTGCAAGTCCTAGTGCCTCCTCATCTTTTATTCATACCATGCTAGTAGCTTTTCTTTGATTGAATTAGGGTTCGTTAATTGTATAAATAATTAAATAAGTAAGTCATAGAAACCAGTTTCATAGGGAATTAAGATGCTCTCTGACTTGGAAGAGAAGTCTTGTAAATGAATACTTTCAACAGTACCTCAGAAGTGTACAATAGTACCTAACACAAGTGTACAACAGTACTTCACAAGTGTACAACATGGACTGGAAGAGTATTCATTATAAGGAACTGGTCAAGCCCCTGGTGTTCCCTCAGAGGAGGGACAGTATGTTTGTAGAGAATTCTGATTCAGGGGAGGACAGTACAAACAAACAGGGAAGGGTAAGAGATGCCAATGTAGTGGTTTGAAAAGATAGAAGATTACGATCTTGTCTACATTTCTGGTTACATGCATAATTTTTTAATCTAGTCTGTAAAAAAAAAATTACTACCAGTATACAAGGGGTGATCAAAAAGTTTGCAAATTTAACTAATAGGGCTGGGACGATACAACTTTTTCTATATCGATACGTATCACGATATTTGATCCATGATACGATATGTATCACGATATGTTTAATTGCTTATAAAATCTGTTTTTGCATTGAAATAAACAAATTATTTCTTTGCAAATAAGAATAATTTATTCAAAATAGTTGTTTATATGTTGTAAAACAAAAATATTTTACTCAAGTGGTGTAAATTATTATTTATTTCACATCTATATTTATATTTATCTTATTTACTTTATATATTAAACCCCAAATGTTAAATAAACAAAGAAAAATAGAAGTAAGATTTTGGGGGGCGATATTTCGATATTTCTTCGTATGTATCAATATGCGTATCGTCCTCGCATGTATCACGATATCTCGATATATCGTCCCAGCCCTACAAACTAATCGAATAACTTCTATAAGAGAGATCATACACGGTTTCAGTGTTGAAAATTTTTAAAGCAGTCCTATCTAGGCAGTCATGTGACATGCTCCATAGTGTTCTGTCACAGAAGCTAAAAGATTTTTCTGACTGTTTTCTTACCATGCAAGTTATTTTTTATAACATGTGAAAATAGTTCACTTGTCATAATGGCTGAATCTTGGCAATAGTATTGGGTGAATAAGAATATCCTTTTCTAGAATGAGCATGGTAACCATCATAACCGGAGTCCTCCGTCTTGGGAGCGTCATTTATTCAATGTGGATAAAATAGGGGTGCCTCCCTTTCATCATTATATTTATCTGATATGTTTAAAGTCTAAAGTAAACAATATTTTAGGGATTTAATAATTATATTATTGTTAAGATATTCAACTATATTTTTTTCCTATTGTAAGTTGGCGATCTTTCATATCAAACTGCTTAACAAAGCCACCCCTATATGGTGATTTCCACATATGACATCCAATTCCTGACTTTTCAGTTGTCATATTTTGTTACAGTCTAGCATTAGTCCCCCCTTCCCTCACATAGCCTGTTTAATAGCCTTTTCCTGGAGTCCCTTATGTTTGTTGCTCCATCTCATTTCCTGTTAATATTACATGTACAACTAGGGATGTGCGATTTTATCGGTATACCGGTATATCACGATTTTTTGTTGCGTGATACGTACCATGAAACACTGAGACCTAAATACTTTAAAGTCCAGAAATTATTCATTTATTTGTTCAATCTTTCAAATTACATACAGAAAAGATTAAAAATGTTGTAAAAAGTGCTCCAAACATAATTGATTTTATATGCATAAAAATTTCAAGAAAGTAAAATTTCTAGCATATTTTTTAGAAAAATAATGACTTTTCATAAAAAATCATTGTAAAAACTGCTTTTAAAAATATCATGATATTATCGTGATATTGTGGGAAAAAATCGTGATATATATATATTATTATAACAGTAACTTGATCCGAAGGGTCGTATCATATATAGGCGCGTAAATCTTTAAATAACGAGGCGAAAAAGTTTTCTACGAGTGTGGTGATCCGGTAAGTCGGATCACGACGTCACGTGATTGCATAAAATCAACAGTAAAATTGAGTGATACACATTAGGTATATAATAAATCGCGATACGAAATATTTGGCGATACCCATCCCTATGTACAACTATAATAATAAGGATTTGTAATTGACTATAAACAGAATTTCATGGAATTATAATTGATGCTCCACATTATTGCCGTTTCTTGCCATATTGACAATACCTAATGGAAAGCATATGTGCATATAACACACTGTATATAATTGCAAATCTTCAAATAAGGAAAAAGTTTCTAGTTAGTAGAGTATGCCAGGGCATCAACAATAGTTAGGAGCGTCACAGATAATAATTGGCAAAGAATGTATGCTTATGCCATTTAAACTTTACAAAATTATGACAAAATAATAAAAATATTTCCCGATAAAGTGCAAAAAAAAGTTTTGAAACAGAAGTGTTGTTTAAAAAATCAAAAAGTTGATTTTCTTCTGGGAGTTATACTACTCTCATATAATCGATAATCAAATCAAATTCTAAAAAGGGAGATAATGTCATATTGTTCCATTAGTCAGTCTAAAATTTCACTGCTTGCATGCATACAAACCTAATTTCCTTTTTGGTATAATTCCTGTTAAAGGCAAAAATGGCTACTTCCTGTGATCTCCAAAATCAATGAAGAAAGGTTGGCTTGTTTCTATTGAACTAGTCATTTCTTTTCCATGGTTTATTGCATGCTTCATTAACAAGATTGGAAAAGCAATTTATGACAAAGGGAAAAACAAGTGCAGTGTTATAATAGTCACAACATAGTGTCGTGTTGCTAAGGTTCTTAACAATCCATTAAACTCTCCCACTTCCATGTTGATAATAATTTGGAGCATTTAATCTTGAGGAGGGTCTCTCCTTATTTTAAGAACAATTTTTATATGACTTTATGACCACTCTAAATGAGTAGCTGGTACTTATAACCTCTGAGGTTTGATCTTGAGAAGGATGCATTGCGGGGATATAATATATAACCTGTTCACCCCCCTGTAAAACACGTTGAACTAGGTCTAGAGAGATGAATAAGTTACGAAAACAGGTAAAGTTTATATTCAGGGTTATCTGTAATTAATGGCGATAAATTGTGTTGATAATTTGGAAGTACCGAAGTCAAGTCTGAGCAGCATCTAGATATTTAAACCATATAATGGCTGAACGAGATGTAGTTACACCTTTATCCTTGGACTTTTACCAGAGTCCTTCCTATTCCTCTGTGTCCTTTTCAGACTCTGAAGCTTTGGACAGTGATGTTTTTTCTCTGACTTTTTTACACATTGACAGAGAAAATAATCCCTTCAGCAGTACGTTGGAGGTATATATCTGGATATTTCCGCTGAAAACGGATTATCGTTGCAGATGGGAAAGATGAAATTCTTCTATTAAAATTTCAGTCTGATTAATATTTATAATCTATACTTTTTTTAAAGATGGCACAATCATCAGATTTTCTTTTCAGGTTGTCACAAGGGGATTAAATTCAATCTAATATACAGGTACATTGTAAGATTAAGATTAAATTCCAAATGAAACTTTACAGGTATGTTATTGGTTCCTTTTTTATAGATTGAGGAGCAGATTAACATTGAGACATTGGAACAGCTGAAGCTGGCCTTCGCGGAGGCTGATGCCAACCAATCAGGACAGCTGGATTTGGAGGAGTTCAAGGCCCTCCTCAAAACGAGGCTCTACATCAAAGGCAACAAAGTAAGCAGGCTCTTCCTGAGTAGTCCTGTTTCTGAGTAAGGAGCTAGAGTTCTCCCTCTCAGATTAAGTAAGCAGGCTGGTTAACTCTTCTTGGTATAGGGAACTAGTTCTCTCTGTCACTTATAATATTCATTCTAAAACCAGATTAAACAAGCTAATTCAGAGAATCTGTGTCCCCTACTTTAGGAAGAATGGAGGGGACACTTTAAGAAGGGCGACAGGGCCTTATGGAATTATGATATAAATTTTAATTGCAAAAACTCAAAACCTTCTTTAAACATAACCTGGAAATAAAAGTTTTACACACATACAGAATTTATTAATTGATGACTTTTGACCTTATGAACTAAAAAAAATAAGGGTCTTTCTAAGGCCATAGGGAGTTGTGGTATACAATCGCATTGCAAAAGCTGAAAGGCTTCTTGAAATTTTGCAGAAACAAAAGTGTTAAAGCAAACAGAATTTTTTTTAATTTATGACCTTGACCTTTGACCTTATGACCTCAAAAACAATAGGTGTCTTTCTTAGGCTATAGAGAGTTGATGTGTAAAATTTCATTGCAAAAGCTGATAAAGGCTTTTCCAGATATCATGTGGAAATGAAAATTTAACAGACAGACAGAAATATAGATGGATGGACTGACAAGTGGACAGATAGATTGAAATTAATATCCCCACTTTGAAATCATTCTGATTCTTGTTTTACTGTGTACTAGCGAATGCCAGGAATAACAACAGTTGTACTTGTAAGTTTATTTCTTCAAATCACCACGTACAATGTAGTACATGTACTTGTAGTTACTTCTAGTCTATTTTCAGTGCTAATATATAGTTAATGTTAATTTACTTTTGTATTTTTATACATTATAGATATTACATACATGTACATGTATTTGCTATTTAAAAAATAGTAGAGTAGAATTTTGATTTGTTTATTTTTCTTTAAAAATATATCAACATGATTAATACATATAACTTTTATCATGTAGTAATTATTGTTTAAAGAAACAATAAGTACAATCTTATGCATAATTTTGCATTGTTCAGGTCTTCATTGCCATAATATTGTGTAAGATGCTCTAAAATCTCAGTTCAAGGTTAGCAATGGAAAGTCAAGGCAATTTTTAGAGGGTTTTGATAACTGCTAGACTAAAGTATTCAAATGACATTGAATATTCTTTGAATCACAGAAGAATACTAAGTGTAATCAAGGTAGATTTAAGGAATAACTCTAATTTTTTGATTTCATGATGTGATCAATCGATTGGCTTTCATGATAATTCGACGTTTATGTATAAAATTATCACGCAAGCTAATCGATTGATCGTCGTCATGAAATCAAAAAATCTGACAGTTATTCCTTATATTAACATGCTTTTGATTCCGCAGATCCACATGCTACAAGCCCCGCTTCTGTCTCTATTTGTCCCGCCTCGCATGTGATTTTTTTTTTAACCGTGCCTATTGATGAACCAGTCATTTATGTAGAAATAAAGTACATTAACAATTTGTAATTTTATCTTTGACAAAGACATTGGAAATGTAAATATTGTTGATTAAAGTCGATCCCCTTTTGCAAACCCATGCAGAGCTCCAGGATTATCTGTTAAACTGATGGGAGTATTTTTATGGTATTTATATTTACATGCATTGTTACGGACTAAAGTCCATTTCTTACATGAGATTGGTCTGTTCCATAATGCATTTCTTTGATTGATTAGTGAATAGACACTTAAAGATTTGCAAGTTGTTTTTGTTTTTAGCTCACCTAAGCTGAAAGCTCAAGTGCATGAGCTTTTCTGATCACATTTGTCTGTAGTCCATCTGTTTGTAAACTTTTCACATTTTCGACTTCTTCTCCAGAACCACCAGGCCAATTTTAATCAAAGCCGACAAAAAGCATCATTGTATGAAGGGGATTCAAGTTTGTTCAAACAAAGGGCCAAAAGGGGAGGTAGTTCAGAAATAGTAAAAATTTGGTGGCATGTTTTAAAAATCTTCTCAAGAACCACAGAGCCAGGAAAAGGGAAACTTGTGGGGAAACATCCTCAGATAGTGTAGATTCAAGTTTGTTCAAATCATTACCCCTAGGGCTAAGGTGAGGCCACAAGGGACATTCAAAGTTTATCATAGGAATATATAGGAAAAATCTTGAAAGATCTTCTCAAGAACAGCAAAGTCATGCTTGGTCATATTTTTATGAAAACTTCAAAGCATTCTCAGGCAGTGTAGATTAAGGTTTGTTCAAATTATGACCCCAGGGGTTGGTGTGGGACCACAAGGACAATCATGCAGAGTTTTACATAGGAATATATAAGAAAAATCTTTAAAAATCTTCTTCTCAAGAACAGAAAAGCCATGATTGGTCATTTATTTGTTTGAAGCATCCTTAGGTAGTGACTATATATTCAAATATGTTCAAATCATGATCCCTGAGGGATAGGGTGGGGTCACAATGGATGAACAAAGTTTTTCATAGGAAAATATAGGAAAAATCTTTAAAAATCGTCTTCTCAAGAACAGCAAAGCAATAATTAATTTTATTCAATTGAAAGCATCCTCAGATATTGTAGATTCAAGTTTATTCAAATCATTACCCCGGGGTTACTTAAGAGCGGAGCCGCAATGAACGAGCAAAGTTTAACATAAGAATGTATATAGAAAATCTTTTAAAAAAATTTCTTCAACAACAGCAAGGCCATGAAGGCATGATTAGTAACATTTATATGGAAGCATTCTGAGGTGGTGTAGATTAGATTTGTTAGAATCATGACGGGACAGGAGGAGGCGCTCACAATGTAAGTTTAAACTTGAAGAGTAAAACAGCCACAGTTATTGAAAGAAATATGCAAGCATCCTTATTAAGTATAGATTCAGGGTTGTCTAAATCATACCCCATCCCCTTTAAGGATAGATTGAAACCACTTATGGATTGAAAAGAGGAAGGTATTGTTTTAGCTTTATTGTGCCCTAAAAATTTAATGTTTTCAAAAAGTTCTGAAACTAGCTTAAATATTAGTTGAGTGTATGACTGTGAAAGATCAGGAAAGAATATGGCATGAAGGAGTTCCATTATGAAAATATGACGTCATAAAGAATGTTTCCACTTAAGCATAGTGCCGTGGCCCCTTTTTCGGACCCCGCTAACTTTATCTAATTAACTCAAATGTTAATTATTTTATACCTAACTTATACTTTGTTATCTTTGTGGTATATTACTTGTAAAAATTCACACTGAAAACGGCGTCTTAGTTTTATACATGTACTTGTAATTTAAAAAGCCATATACTTGGTGTTAATTCCGGAATGTTGCGCTTGTCCGAGTTGGGTTTTAATTGTGTCACATTAATATTCAGAGTAGGCGGGGCATTTCATCGATCGATTGAAAAACATGTAACATTTAGCCAGTTATAATGGCTTTCGGAATTTCATACAAAATACAAACTGTAAACAGAAAAATAAACACAAAGAATTTCTCAAGGATTACGCCATTTGTTTTTTGTTTTTTTTACGAAAGATGGTACTGGGGAGGATCTTTGAGATGTATAATTATGATCCCTATAAATCCACATCCCCAATCTTGTGGTCGTTTCTCGGTGGAAATTTAACACTTAATTAAATAAACTGAGCCTACTTGTATATGAAAACGGGGAAAATCATATTTAAGAAAAACTTCTTTATTTTTTTAGAAGATAGTGCCGTATTGAAATTTTAAACACCTCTCTCTCTCTCTCTCTCTCTCTCTTCATACCTTTTAAAGTAGTCAGTAAATACCCCGTACTTCTTACATATAATGGTGAATGGAATATCTACATGTTCTACCCCGTGTCCTTTTATTTTTACAGTCAAAAACACTTTGAGGAAGGATACTACTTCGAAGATGGGAGCTAAATCTTTGAAACTCGTTGAGCCTCCAAACGTGCCCCCTAAATCAAATGACTAAAAATAATATAAAAATATCGTTACATTTTTTTCCAATTTAATATTCCATTGCCCTATTAAAACACTTGACAAAAAAGAAATAATTCTATGTTTATTGATTGAAAATGTACATGTAATGGTCTAAGTTGGACGCCTTTTGAAGGAATGTTAATCGTATCTACAACCACGTGGTTTATTGATTTTTTTGTATTCACAAAGTTACCTGAGTCTACAAATCATGTGGTGAATTGGAATATTAAACAGGTCACAATGAGGTCAATGACATGTAAATACCCGTAAACAGTGAAGAAAACTGTCAGCGTTTTGTATGAACAAATTCTCCCTTAAACATGTTGAATTTTTCTACACCTTCTGTTCTTTTGAGAAATTTGGGCAAGCATGCGCTCACTATGTATTTCAGCTCTAAAAATCAGAATAACTTTGAATAAGAATGGAGATTTGTAATTTGCATTGACCCCTCTCACAAAACACAGTCTCGTTCTTTAATATTACTCATTTTTAATTTCTGTAATTTTGCAAAGTTGCGATCTAGACCTTGAAGAATTGTTTTATTAATTTCATTAGGCTACTTTCTAAACCTTATTTTTGCACAATTTACTGAGGGCCATGTTTTGTACACTAAGTTCAATCATTCTTTGATGCATTTCTCTATTTTAAACAGAAAAAGCCTCAAAATGACCCATTTCAAGGGGAATTTTCCTTTAAAAAATAGTGTTCACAGCCGTCGCCCACTTTAATATTTGGATATGTTGTGCAAAATACAATGAAAAATCATATATATCAAAATCTTTGTGGCCGATGCCTGTGGACAATATTTTCTGAAAGAAAATTTCATTGAAAATTGGTGTCTTCTGCAACATTTTGACGAACATACAGCAAAATGCACATGTTTATGACGTCACAATTAGCATTAATAGAAACGCATATGAGAAAAATGATTTGTATAATTTTTATGCATGGAATTTCAATGATTCAGAATACATGAGTTTTCATTTCTTACATCAGTTTCATTTTTAAGAAAATCACAGGGCAAGATTTGTATTGAAACTGTACCTTCTTTTCAATATTGAACTGATTTCTGCTCTTTTTACTATCCAAAGACAGCACTCAGGTGAGCGATGTAGCCTATGGGCTTCTTGTTTCTTTTCATTGTTTTCCCTTTTGGGACAAATTAGACTTCAAAGGCTTCAAGATAATGTTAAATATATTTACCAGTAAACATTTTTATGGTTTAATTTACAAAGTATTTTTTAAAAGTAAGAAATTCTCCGCTTTCTTTTTATTACACAATTTTTACACTTAGCCTTTTTAAAGGATTTATTCTATTTATCCTGTTTTGTTCTTTGTTTTTAACATTTTCCTTCAGGCAATTACTTTATATGTTGTGCCTTTGAAATACACATAGCACTTTAAATTTTTCTCCATTTGCCTTAGCTTTTACATTTTTGCATTTTAATTTACATATCTCAACAGTTGATAAGAAAATAAAAAAAAAAGTTTTATATATGCAATAATACAAATGGTAAAAAATGCTGATAATCTATTATATACATGTATTGATCCTCAGACTGCTAGATATAGGGGCGTCTCATTTTTAAGTTTGTGTTGATTAGGAGAACCAGATAGATGCCCTGTTTATGAAGATTGACTGGTCCTCAGAAGGGGTGATTTCCTGGGATGAGTTCTGTACCTACATGCAGCTAGAGTATGCTGAAAAAGAGGACTCGTACCTACGATCCAAAGAAGTCAACTTCCACCTACCCGCCAAGATACAAAATCCGCAGCATAAGAACCCCATCCTGAAAATCACGGACACACAGGATGGAACATTCATAGCATGTAGTCAGGTAAGATGTGACCACTTCTACTGGTAACACGGTAAAGAATTTTTTTTCATATTTCCCTTAGTGAAATTGCTAGGCTTCAAATGTTTGTCCAAGTAAATGTTCTGGTTGGAATTGGTGTACATGTATACCAGTATGTAACTTTGATTTAAAATACATTTATTCATATTAATGAAATGGATTGAACAGCAGCAGGCATAAATGCCTAAATGCCTATAATTGTTCTCACCTTTTATAACTTTTAGCTTAAGGCTATTCCAATTTGTTTTCTCTGTTTAATTAGCAACCACCCATCTTTCAAAAACTTAGTACCTACCTTATTTTTTTTTATCTAATATTTAATAATAAAAATGACTGCATATTTTTGCAAGCTGATAGTCTTGCATATTATTGCAAAAATGAATTTCTCCCAAATAAACAAATATCATGTACAGTGAGTTGTCTTTGTTTCATTTCAGGATGGAATGGTGACTTTCTGGGGAGCTAATGTTGAACTAAAAGAAACCAAATATGTTGTGGTAAATTTGTATTTTATGAATCTAAACAGTCTAACCAGATACATTTAAACATACTGGCAAATTTTCAGCTGAAATGAATGCCAATACATTTATTTTTATTACAATTTTGTGAAATGTTAGACAGTGATATCTGAATAATTTCATACAGAATGCAAAGAAATTTTTTGATCAGCAGGTAAATGTATAGTAGAAGCTAGCTCTAAGAGATTGTGTTGATGATATGCCAGAATTCAGGTTTTGCTTGATTTATTTTATTATGTTTTTAAAGCATTCATAAAAATTAGCGTGTGAAACTTTTTTCCATGTAAAGTTTATCATATGTTTTCTTGTTAAAACAATATATGGTATCTGTGTCATGCTACATGTATACAGACAGCATGTGGCAGCTGTGCATTCAGTAACATTAACTGAGAATAAAATGGTAAATTGTCAAAACGAATCAAATAGAAACCATTTTTCTACAGAACACTGAGGCTAAGAATAAACAGAAGACTAAATGGATCACAGATTTTGTCATCATGGCCCAGTGGAAGAAGGTGCTAGTGGGAACAGGGTAAGACACCGAAAAATGAAGACCTCTGCTTATACTCTAGATGTGCTTTCTTTGCTTGGGTTAATTTACAGTGTGTATGCACTCAGAAATTTTGTGCAGGAATCTGTTCAGCATAATTGTTTCATTTAAGATATTACAGTTACAGTCAAAGATATCTGAACAATTCTTTACTTGGTGATGTAACGGGGTGCGTTCAACAACGTAGCTGCTATGTCGCCGCTACGTAAAGCTACGCTCTTGGACGGAGAGCTAGCCTAGTCGCCACATAGGGAGAGCTAGCAGAAATATCTAATGCTAAGTATCAAATCCAAGATGGCCTCCTAAGTTACAAGTTCACAGTACATAAGGTTTTAACAAAATGGAGGGTAATTTTCTACATCTTAATAAATTAAATGTAAATGTACATATTTATTTTTGCTTGAAAAAAACTTTTTTGTCCCCAAAATAAGTTTTTACTGGTATATTTTTATTCAAACTTTAACAGTTAGCATCTAGGTTAGCTGTCCGTTCAATAGAGATAGATATCTAACACCTAGCTGCTAGTTTAGCTGCTTACGATTTTGAACGCACCCCAGAAATTGTAATATTGCCAAACTACGACCTCTTAGAAAAAGTCATCGTCTGGGCAAACTCAATGAAATATTGCTGCAACATATGTTAATTTGTTGATTATAGACAACAAATCAGAAAGTTGTAACTCTTTATTTTTGAAAATATGTTTATTAGTTTGCTTTTCATGGAACATATATTTTGACGCTTGTTAAAACATGAGAAGTTTTGGAAATTATATGGGAATATCCTTTTCAAAATGCACCTGGTTTATTAGTTATTAGTTCCATGTTTTCATATACACTGTATCTGTTCCATTTTTAAGAACTTGAATTTTTAAATTCAACAGTATTACCTATTTACTATAATTACACGTATCTTTAAAAAAAAAAATTATTATTTGTGTTTTCAATTCAAGATAATTATTAGTACATACTGTGGTTTCATCCATTTTCATTGGCATCAATTTTCGTGTATTTTGTAAAACAGACATTTTCGAGGATACTTAAATTTGTGGACAAAGGCATTGCCTATAAAAATGAATAACACATTTCTCAATTCAATGAACATTTGAATTCCTGGATCTGCTTAACAACTAAATCCTCGAAAATTGGTGCTCAACGAATATTGATGAAACCACTGTATGTATCATAAAAAGAGTTGTGCTTATGATATTAACAGAGACAGAGAGATCCAGTTCTTTGACTCCTCTTCATACAAGCCCTATTGTCAAATCAGTAGTCTGGAAACGGTGCCATTAAAACTCGATTATTGGTAAGTTCCATACCACTCAGGTGCTTAAACAATTTCTAAAAGATCTACAAACTCAGCTGTTATAATTTACATAATAAATCCCAAAGACATGGGGACATGAATTGATGCATTTTGACAGACAAGTTTCCTGATAAATTTCAGTGCCACTGGATCAGATGAATGTTTGATTTTGTTTGGGGACAGTGATGGGTGTATCAACATACTAGTCATAAACTCTGTCGGGGAATGTCTCAGGTATGTAGCCATAAACTAGCATGCTTACTAGTCATAAACTCTGTCGGGGAAATGGTACGTACTAGTCATAAACAGGTATGTAGCCATAAACTCTCGGGGAATGTCTAGGTATGTAGCCATAAACTCTGTCGGGGAATGTCTCAGGTACGTACTAGTCATAAACTCTGTCGGGGAATGTCTCAGGTATGTAGCCATAAACTCTGTCGGGGAATGTCTCAGGTACGTAGTCATAAACTCTGTCGGGGAATGTCTCAGGCATGTAGCCATAAACTAGCATGCTTAAAAAAATGGGATAACATGACAAACTGTTCTATATTTTGAAATGTTAATATTTGATTGGTGCAGGACCTGGAATAAACTGCCCAGTAAGGAAGGATTTATTGCCGAGATCAGTCTGTCGGACGCCATCTCAAAATCCAAGATCCAGTTTATCCGATGGAAAGTCCATGGGGATTGGGTACAACAGGTCAGGAGAAGTCCCGTCTCTTAGAAAATTTAATCTTTATCATGTTTTCTTCTCTATCTTAAGTTAATTTCACTTCCAACGGATACAAATATTTTTGAATTTGCATTTGGAACGAAGGCAATCAACACCTTATTTTTTAAGTCTGAGAAAAAAGTGAATGATATTTTAAAATACTAAATTTCAGAAATATTTCAATTAAAAATGGTAATTTTGAAATGTGTGTTCATATGAATTAAATGTTTTGGTTATACAGTTTGGAATCTCCAGCATGTTTTATTTCATATTACATGTTTCAGTTGAAGTATTACCATGAGATAGGCCAAGTTATATCCTGTTCTAATCATCAGGAAACAGCATTAGTTATAGGTAGGGATTAAATTCATCTAAATTGTATACATATGGTTAGAGTTATGGTTCCTGAATTTGAGATTTTTTCTACCTATAAGGTTGTACCACTGGGAGCACCAGAGTAGATCAGGGAGGTAACTCTTACACGGAGAAAGCGAAGAAGACCAATGCTAAACTCAGGCTTGACGCTGACCAGAAAGTGTTCTATGTTTACAAGGGAGTCAAGTGTTTTGACTTTTCTAAAGATAAAAACATCATCGTAACCGGAGGCATGGATAGAATAGTCCGTCTGTGGAATCCCTACGTCTCAGAGTAAGATGGCCCCAGTGACAGCATTCAAACTTAAATTGGAAGTTGCAATACCTGATAGAAAGGAATTACTCTTTTTTTATTTTGAATTTTAATCTGTTATTATAATTATCCTTGGGATGATTTCTTTTTAGTAAACCCACTGCCATGCTACGAGGACATAATGCTCCAATATTTTACCTGTTTATAGCCAATGATGAGAATCGTGTGTTCAGTTTATCAACAGATAAATGCATCAAGGTCAGACAATCTCATAATGTTTTTTCAGTAATCAAGGTTTAACTATATAAAGATATTTCTTACACTGTGATTTGCTAAGTTATTTTATTTAGATATGACAGTCACTGTTTATTATTTTTTGTAAAGATTGATCAGTTGCATATATAAGGCATATTACCGATTTTAATTTTAACCTCCTAGCTTGCTTCAATATCTATGTTTTTCCCTGTGTTTGCCAGGTGTGGGACATTTTAGATCATAATTGTCTACTGACTGTCCGACCAAAAGGTCACAAAATCCGCGGCGATCTCCAGGCCTGCCATTATTCCAGTGCTGCCAAGAGTATGGCCATAGCAACAGATCAAATGGCCATTCTCAACCTCAAACAAAAGTAAGCAACCTTTTTTGTTTTAATTTCTTTGTATAATGAAGTGCTAAATAAACCATATGATATGATGAAGTTTTTACCATAATATCCTGCTATAGAGCTGGGTATTGGCAAAAAATTTCGTAGTGCGATATATTGCAATATTTTTTTTCACTGTATAATGCGATATATATTGCAATATTTTTAACATTATTAAAATGGCATTTTCTTACTATATAAACTTTACTTTACATGTAGAATGTACAAAACTATGATAAATAAGCAGATGGAAAAGAAAAATTTGTTGATTTTATTAAATGTATGCTCTGAAGTACACCCATAAAACAGTTTCTGCTTTATTGTTTGGCTAAAAAATGACCTTTCTTACATTTATTTTTACATTGAATGATAAATTCTTTAGACTTAGCATTTTGCCAGTATATCAATATTACAAAACCGTATTGCAATACGATATTTTTTTGTCATTGTATTGCAATATACTGAAATATCGATATATTTGCCCAGCCCTATCCTGCTAGTAATTATTTTCTAAAATATATGCAATTATATGACTTTAAATGATCAATCTTGATGTATTTACTAGTATATATATGATTAAGTTATAATAATAATTACCTGAGTCAAGTATTTGAGTGTTCCTTATTTCAGAAATCGTAGGTTAGTAAGTAATTTGTATGTGAATTTGTCCCGAGTTGTTTGTGGGTAAATGGTGGCTAGAAGATGCTGTGTTTAGGACAGTCTCTCAAACCTGGTTGACATAAAAATGACTTTTAACAACATGTAATTTATTGTCTTTCTTCCCGGTCAATATGTGACTGTTTTCCTGAGTGTAATTTGTTTTAGAGATATTGTATAAAGCTTTACAGAATGCACACCCTTCAGTACTGTTACAATGATGTGCAAATCAAGTGTGACCTGTACTGTATTAACAAGGTGCTCTTAAATTGTACCCACTGACAATTAAAAGATGTATTCATATATACAATTATTTATTAAATATACATTAATAATCTGAATCAATATATCATCAGACTACATACTATAATATTTATTCTTTGTTTAATATTACTGACAAAATTACTGAGGGTTGAATTACATGTATATATAGTCAACTTAATCTGAGAAAAAGTAAATGTGTTTGAATGGGAACATGTGAATAATGATGTAGATTGGAGTAGATCTTTTAAGCTAGTGTGTCTTGACTTTGTTCTGACAGTAACAATGTTATCTGTTTTATATAAGACTGGATGCAAATCTCTGCAGGTAAGGCCAGCTACTCTGCCGAGACCACCAATGCACAGATTTACCTCCCCTGTTTAGCATCACTCTTTCCTTTTAATGTGCCTAAGACTCATTATTAACAACAGTGAGATGGAGCCTTCAAATAAATATTAGATGATATTGATACAAGTTTTCTGAAGATTAATATAGAAACTTTTTTCTTTCAAGCTCCACTAACCCCTTCCATTTTTTCTCTCTCCTGTCCAGTTGTGTAGCTTTGAGATTGTGTTAGCACACACATTTATGGCCATAAGCTTCAAGCCACAGGAGCACTGCCCTTTCTGTCTCTGTGTGTTAGCAGTGTGCCATTTTTTGTTTTGTTTTTATTGTACTTTCTTTTTGTTTGTTTTCTATTGCAGTTTTTTAACTTTGTCAATGTTTTCTAAAGCTTGCGGTTAATGTCTTTTTCTGCAAGTCTTTGGTGTTAAATGTGTAATATAGCAAAGAGGGAACAGAATGAAGTACAATGTACAGACATACAGTTGAAGTATGAATAGAGCTTGCATATTTTAACAAAGTCTATGCATGAAGATGATTTTATATGTACATGTACATGTATGTCAGAATATTTAATATATGTATTTTTTATTTATTAATTTAGCGAGTGTAAGTGATAGGTATAATTTTATCTAATTATATGTTGTGGCATTCTTTGTATGAATATAAGGCAAGCTGTGAGTCATATTAATTTCAATGATATGTATTTGTATTCATAAAATGCTACTTCTTAAGCAGTTTTGATGTTTTAATTATTTTAGTTAAGTTTTACTGGAAAATTAAGCAATATTCTCATTTTTAGACCAACAAAGCATGCAGATATTACAATCACTCACAAAGAACCGGTCACCTGTGTACGATACAATCCTAGTTTTAAACAAGTCATCACATGCTCAGAAAGTTCTGTAAGTATTGCATATACCTTAACAATATTTACAAAAGATTCTATCTTTATTTGTGCTAGTTATTAATATTGCAAAATGACTCTATGACATCAAATTCCAAGAAAATGAATTGATGCATGAACTTTTGACAGTTTTAAATGAAAGGAATAATTTTCTTTGCGTGCAATTATCGTTTCTCATAAAATTATGTGATAATAAATTTCTTGCATATACATATATTAAGGAATCTACTGCCATAATAAAAGTTCATGAAGCACTCTTTACGTATATTTTTTGAGAATTATTGAACATTGATCTAGTCTGTATGTTTGTCTGTCAGGTAATCAAGCTGTGGGACCTGGAGACAGGAACCCCCATCTTTGAGTATGGCGATGCCCACGGAGATTCAGCCATTACCTGTATGACCTTTGACAACACAGGAAGAAGGTTAGCCCAGAAATGCATGCATGAAACAATCTTCAATGTTGCACATTATCTTCAATGTTGCAGATGAATTTGTTTATTGAACTTCGAAATTGTTATAATGAACATGGAAATCAATGTTTTTATTTGTATGTATTAAACAGGCAAAAAAATTCCTTGCAGGTTAATTACAGGTGGTAGAGATGGGATCCTCAAAATCTGGAACTATAACAATGGGCACTGCCTGAAAGTTCTCAAGAAAGGTAAGTCACTATTGTTATAGATCAATGGAGCAGACAGATAATTTACAGTACTCACATAGAGGACTCGTCATCTCCATAAAAGATACTGTAAATGTATTATATTTAGCGTGTACAATACTGTAAAACGAGAAAATTTGGCGCACACGTATTTTAGCGCAAACGCAAGTGGGAATGCATTGGCGCAAATAAATTTTAGCGCTTGCACTTGTCAGTAAAATATATAAATGTGATATTTTGGTGTTTTTTAATCCACACCCGTATTTGACTTTTTGGTTAGTCAAGCACGGAAACACATTAGTACTCCCGTATTTCAGTAAGCATTCGTTACCTTTACCGCGGTATGTGTTGCTATCACATGGACGTGTTATAATGTTTAAATTTATTTTAAAATCTATTTTCAATTAAAAGAAATGTAGTATTTACTCATTTAAGTCACATTAAAACAATGTATGCATCGACAGAAACTTACTTAGATAAAACGGTAATCCTAATCAGTATTGTCTGCAAGCTCAATCGCCATGCTTGATTGCATTGTTTACCTCGAGGCGATAGATGATTGACACACCAAGAAGCCAAACTTTGAAGGTGCTAATGATAACAATCGGGTAACAACTACCAGGGTAACAATAGTTTAATTAAATTATAATTTGGCAGAGTTTTCTGTCTTCCAAACATGTGCAGTGCTAGTGTGTATATAAAATCCAATGACCCTTCGACATTACGTAATCGCGCTTTCCGGTTTACATGTACTTATGTCAAAGCTTTGAACACACACAAAAAATGATATTCAGAAATCCTTTAGCGCACAATAAATTTTAGCGCTCAGGAGCTCTTGCGCCAAAGGCGCTAAAATTAGTAGTGCGCCAAATATTCTCGTTTTACAGTATTTGGCGGAAATTGATTTTTGAACAAGTTAGCGTAGATTTGATTTAGCGCATTTCTCAATGTTCTTATTTATTTATATATGTACAAGACATTTAGCATTGTACTTGAATTAGCGGAAGTTCCTTTCCGCCAAAAGCGCTAAAAAGAATACACAGCCAAACATAATACGTTTACAGTAGTTCAGAAGTCACCAGCATAAATAAGAAATAGATTGATGATGTTATTTGAGATGTTTTGTTATTGATTGTTTCGTTTTACAGAGGAAGAAAACGATGAGATTTGTGACATCACATATGTAGAGATGAACAGAAATAGGTGGGTGTCAAATCCTAACAAAATCCAATTCCCCAGTGAATGATGTTAAGTAATATGTATGTCTAATTTCTGTTGTGTGCTTTGTTTTAGATATGTAGTATCTGTTGGCTGGGACAAAAGAATCAACATTTACTCGGATTCCGTCACTGATGTCAACATCCATCATGTACAACATCCCAATCCAAACTGGTCCGATGATTTAGTAAGTACATGAACTTCTGTTGTTTTTCTCTTTTTACCTCAAAAATCTTTGGATTGTTTGGTGCTAGGGTTTCCATATTTCACATTTATTGTGACAAAACCTTTCTTTGGTACCAATATTTTGACTTATAGCTTTCACATTACTTTTCTAAAGCTTTAACCATATCTTTTGAATGTTTAGTGCTAGGACTTTTATATTTGGCATGAGTATTTCATGTTCAGGGTTCGACACTAACGGTAGCCCGCTGGCCCGGGACAACTGAATATTGAGATCGGGCTACTAAACATGCCTTTAAACTTGCCCTGCAGGACTACTGAAAATTTTAACAAATACTCACTCAGAGCAACAAAAATAATTAACATTTATACACAATGCACCTGATAATTGTTAAATCTATTTTCAAACATATGTTTTATCATCATAATTATTATTTTTGTAAGTCAAAATGTATAATGGTGATTCGAAATACCCTAAATGATTATAAATGTGGACTTTTTCGAATAGAAATATGTCTTAGGTACAATCATAGAGTGACATATAATTTTTACAAAAAATGCAGCCAGAATGCAGGATTTGGTGTCTCTATTTTCAAAATTTCATGGGGGAGGCCCCCCTTACCCCCACCAGCAGGAGGGGGAAACCCTCTCCCGCACCTACCCCCCTCGTCGCTTCGCGACTCGGCCACCAGCCTTCAGCTGCTGGACAACTAATACATAAACAGGGCTAGTTGAAATAAGAAATGGCTAGCCCTGCTGACAAGTATGGTTTTAAAGTTAGTGTCGATCCCTGATGTGACAAGCCTTTTAATCCGGAAGGTAGGCAAAGTTTGAACCTTTACCTTGAACTTTCACCTCCTTTGAAACACTATAACCTTGGCCATAACTTCTGAATGGGTGGTGGTAGGACTTCCATATTTTTCATGTGTATTTCTTGTAACCAGACCTTTCAATGCCTGGCCTACTGTCCAAAAAAAAAATTAAATATTGGCCAAGAGCTGCCATTTGAAGGCACAAACATCTTTTATTTAAATTTTATCCATATGAAGACTCTTTAAGTAGAGTCTATGAACATTTAAGCAAAGTCTAGATCAGAATGTTAAAATCTGTGGTTTGTTTCTGTAGAAGGACGGTCATAAGGAGGATATATTATCTGTGGCCCAGTGTCCCCCCAATCTGCTGGCAACCTCGGGGTATGATGGGGAAATCATCGTGTGGAACATGGTGTCTGGTCACATCTTCTGTCATTTATCTGCCCCGGTACCTAGTAATTACGAGGATCAATCGCGTAAGTACTTACCTAACTACTGTGTGTTAACAAGTACCAAGTAACCACAAGGATCAGTAACGTAATTACTTACCTAACTACCGAGTATTAACAAGTACCAGTAATTATGAGGATCAATCACGTAAGTACTTATCTAACTACTGAATGTTAACAAATACCCAGTAATTATGAGGATCAATCACGCAAGTACTTATCTAACTACTGAGTGTTAACAAGTACAGTAAAACTCGGTTATAATGAAGTCACGGAGACCAATAAAATTACTTCGCTATATCCGTAATTCGTTATATCCGTATAAGGAATTTGTTCAATTTATATAGCTGGAGATCTAAGATAACTTCGCTATATCCGTGAATTCGCTTTATCCGTGTTCGTACTAAACGAGTTTTGCTGTACCCGGTAACTACAAGGATGAGTCATGTAAATGCAAATTAAACTCATTGTCAAGGAATATATTTACTTTAACTACATTATGTTAAAGTTATGAAAATCATTTTGAATATTGATGATCAAGAAAAAAAATGATTAAGATTAATTTTTATGCTTTTTTTTTTTTCCTGTAAAGAATTTTATTAATATTTTCAAAAATCTTATGTCCTCATGTGTATTTTTCTTCTTGCATAAAAAAATTCCTTTTTGACCATCCTTAATTTTATGTTGGTGTGTATAGACTGAATCACTTCAGTTTTTTATCTGGAGTAAATTATTTATAAACTTCCTTTTCACAGTGGACGGGGATCTGAGTATCAATAAGCTGCTGTTTATACAAAGTCGGGCCTACAATAAGGACTCCGCCTCTCTTATTGCCAGCGGACCCCGCGCTCACATCCACTTCTGGAATGTCTTTCAGGGAGGAACTCTCATGGCACAGTTCCCAGGGGTGAGTTATTCAGCTTGTGTCAAACACATAAACCTACTCTATTAAGTAAGGTACAGTGTATATGGGATAAAAGCGTGTATGAAAATTGATTTTGTATGCATATGAATTTATAAGAATGTTCATGTTTGAGTAGAGGCATTATATAGCTTATATATTCTTTTAATTAGGGCCCCGCAAGGATTTGCGGGTGCCCTATAGTAATCACTCTGTCTGTCCGTCTGTCTGTCTGTCTGTCTGTCATTCTTCCGTCCACAAATTTTCTGTTTTTTTCTAATAACTTTTTTTTATGGTTGCCCAATTAAGTTCAAATTTGGTATGGTAGTTCAATATGCAGAAAGACAAATTTTGATGCTAAGTTTGGTTCTCTGTGGCTTCTGGTTTGGAGCTGGGGTGGTGGGGTAGATTCCTTAACTATGCATAAGAATGAATGGGAAAAGAGAGATAACTCCTGAGAATGTTCCCATTATAAAATCTGAAGGTTGTGCAATTTGTCCTTTGGGATTAATTAACCTTCCACTTGAAGAAAATCTTAGCATTATCTTTATCTGTCACATTGAGATTAGTTACTATACTGCCTCTGTCTGCAAATGAAGTTTGTTGTGAAGTTAAGGTCAATTTTGAATGATGTCTACATTCCTTGAAATATGGATTTAAATAATGTTCATACTTTATTTTGGTTATGATTTTATTGAATTCTAAAAACAAGATATAAATTAAGATATCCTTTTTAAGGTCTTCCGTCTTCACGGAAGACCTTATAGTGATTCTACTGTTTCTTATTTATTATTATTCTTTTTTAGACAAAATTTTGTGCACGCGATTTCTCGAAAACTATTCAGCGGTTTTCAATGAAACTTTCACAAAATATGTGTCATTAAATGAAGTTGTTACATCCGAAGAAAAATTTGGAAAATTCGGTTCCGGTGCCAATTTATGGACGATTTCCTGATTTTAAAGTGCAATTTTGTCGCCCCTTTTTATCGAAAATGGCTGAGGATATGAACTGGAGACTTATTGGAGATGATGGATCAAGACTTTCTGGTTTGCAGAATTGCCTTTTCGTGCGTCGTAAGCACTTCCGGTTTCTGCCGGAAGCATATTTAAAAAATGCAATTTTTCAATTTTTTTTGTTTTTCAATATTTTTCTTTGGTGTTTTTAATCTAAATAGAGACTTGTTTGCGAATGCGTAATATGTAATTTCTTTTAGAATCAAAAAAGGCAATCTCGAGATATTCGCATTAAAAAATTTGAAGCGGTGTTTTCAATGGTCGAATGGTTAGCGCGTTGGATTATCACGCGGGCGACCCGGGTTCACTCCCCCGAATGTCCGACTTTTTTAAATCACTTTTTAGCTCACCTGAGCCGTAGACTCAAGTGAGCTTTTCTGATCAAAATTTGTCCGTTGTCTGTCGTTGTCGTTGTAGTCGTTGTCGTTGTCGTCGTCGTCATCGTAAACTTTTCACATTTTCATCTTCTTCTCAAGAACCACAGGGCAAATTTTAACCAAACTTGGCACAAAGTATCCTTAAGTGAAGGGGAATCAAGTTTGTTCAAATGAAGGGCCACGCCCTTTTCCAAGGGGAGATAATTATGAATTAGAGAAAAATTAATGGCATTTTTAAAAAATCTTCTTCTCAAGAACCACTGGGCCAGGAAAGGTGAAACTTATGTGGAATCATCCTCAGGTAGTGTAGATTCAAGTTTGTTCAAATTATAACCCCCGGGTCAAAGGTGGGGCCAAAATGGCCGACCCAAGTTTTACATAGGAATATATAGGAAAAATCTTTAAAAATCTTCTTCTCCAGAACCACTGGGCCAGGAAAGGTGAAACTCATGTGGAATCATCCTCAGGTAGTGTGATTCAAGTTTGTTCAAGTTTCCCCGGGGCTGGGGTGGGGCAAAAATTTGACCCAAGTTTTACATAGGAATATATAGGAAAAATCAATTTTAGATCATGACCCCCGGGGCTGGGGTGGGGCCAAAATGGCCGACCCAAGTTTTACATAGGAATATATAGGAAAAATCTTTAAAAATTCCAGAACCACTGGGCCAGGAAAGATGAAATCATGTGGATTTAAATAATTTGTTCAAATGATGACCCCTGGGGCTTTAGTTTTTAGGAATATATAGGAAAAATCTTTAAAAATCATCTTTCCAGAACTACTGGGCCAGGAAAGATGAAATTCATGTGGAATCATCCTCAGGTAGTGTAAATTCAAGTTTGTTCAAATCATGACCCCCGGGCAAGGGTGGGGCCAAAATGGCCCACCCAAGTTTTACATAGGGATATATATAGGGAAACATTTTAAAATCTTCTTTTCAAGTACTTCAAAGCTATGATTAGTGTTATTTGTATGGAATCATCCTCAGGTAGTGTAGATTCTAGTTTGTTCAAATGATGAACGCCTGGAGGGGGGGGGGGTAAAGCGCTGTGGCCCCTGGGCCTCTTGTTTTATTATTTATTTATTTTATAAAAATTTTTGCTGCCTTAATGTTGTTTAATTTTAACAGGTAATGAAATAATAACCCCAGTCTGTTATTGCTGAAAAAAGTTCTTATTGTAAATTTAGAAGAAAAGGATAAGAGAGTAGTACAATTAATCCCCTGGGATTATTTATCTTGCTTGCTGCAGAAAATTTAGAGGCTTGTCTTTATCTGTCACATGAAGATTAATGAACACCTTTGTCTGCAACTGATGTTTGTTTTGAAGTTGAGGTCAACCCTAGGTGATATTTGCATTCAGTGAAAGCTTGCATTTTATAAAACCTTTGCTTAAATCTTTTTTAAATACACATTTAATTGAATTTTTATATAGACATGAGGTTTTCCCTGTTTTTTTGTAAATACAAGGTTACTATTTACAGGTTTGTGGACATTCAGGAATTTATCTTGAAATTTTAAAAATACAGTTGTTGCTTAATATTATTCTTCATATATTTTTTTTAAAAATGTAATCAAGTAAAATCCTCCTTCCATGAGCTGCACTCTTATATTTCTACCCCTCAGCGGGGCCCTTGTTGACTGGTCAGTTTTCTAGTTTTAGTAATTTTATTTTCAAAGTGTCTTAATCTGATTTGTTATGCCCCCCCTTTGAAGAAGAGAGGGCATATTGCTTTGCTGCCGTCTGTCGGTCCACCAAGTTTCTGTTCATTTTCTTCACCACTATTGCACATACTAAAATGAAATTCGATATACAGATTTATCATAAGAATATCTAGGTCAGGTACTATTTTGGGTACCATAGAGTAATTTTTGACAGAGTTATGTACCTTGGACTTAGAAAAATTCCTATTATTTGGGGGAGGGAGCATAAGTGTTTTACAAACATCTCTTGTTTGTATTAAGTCTTTCCAGTGAAGAATTTAAAAAAAATATTGTGTGTAGATTTGGTTCATAGCTGAGTAATTCCTCTTTAAATCTTTTTCACATTCCACTACTAAGGATGCTCTGATTATAAATTTAGTTCATTGTTGAGTAAATCTCAGTAAATTTTCTTTACAGTCCACGACTAAGGGCGCTATGATCAGCACGATGGCCATCACGGACACGTCGGATGGAAATGAGGATGAAATCATGCTGATCGTAGGCGACAGCTATGGCTTCCTCTTCCTGTTTGACATCTCTGGTTATTGTCTGATGGCATCCGAGGAGGATCCTCCAGAATGTAAGTAATGTGTCATATTGCTGGCCATCTGTTCAAAGTTCATCTAATACGTCGCTCTTTTCAATCTTAAAAGTTACAATCTAAGTTTTATTTCAGTTAATTTTATGATTTAATGCGACAAAATTTTGTACTTTATAAAATATATATTTGTATCTGCATTCAAAATTAGGGGATAATTTACACAAAAATTGTCACCTGAATTGATGTTAATTTAATTTTGTAGTGATTCACAGTTGGCGTGGTCATATAGACAGTATAACTTGTATGGAGCTGGTGGAGAAACACAAACTTCTGATGACCGCTTCCACGGACTGTACAGTACGACTGTGGAACTTTGACGGGGACTACATCGGTAAGAGTTCTAGCTTTAACAATTAACAGGTTATATAATTCAATTGTGTACAACTTAAAATATTTACTAATTTTTTTGTTTTTGACTAGGCACGTTTGGTCAGCCGGATCCCTGGGATATTTATAAACCGTCGACTTATCGTCACCCCATGGTTCCATACGACGTGCTAATTGATCCCATGAGTCTTCCGTCGCACCCCGTGATTGAAGAGAAAAAGAATACTCAACAGATTATCCACGAAGGAGAAAATGTAGGACTATACAAGGGAAATAATTCTGTACATTTTAGGAATTTTCATGACATCTTTGTCAATATAGTAAAATTCTTGGATTAAATATAAGTAGGCAAATATATTTCCTATGATCAAAGTAAAGCTTGGTGTCAGCTTCATAGGTTGTTGCACAAAAGATTATTTAGTGAATTATATACTTTCTTTCGTCAAATGTTTATAGTCAATTTATATTTTCTGTTTACAGGGGCATTTGAAGACTCCCCAGTTTACATTTAAGAAAGAACAATTTTACATTGATGATGAAACAATAGCTAAGGAACTTCACAAACTCCAGAGCATCCTGAAGGATGAATCTCTCACAGAAGAACAAGCTAAAGCCTACAAAGGAAAATGGTAAATGTCAGAGGTGTTATGTTGTCAGCTGTGCTTTGTGTTGTCAGATGTGCTTTGTTATATCAACTGTGTAACATTGTGTCAGATGTTATATCAATATCCATTGTGTCATATCACTGCATTGCATTATTAGGTCACCTGAGTAAACTCAGGTGACCTATTGCTATCCGTTTTCATCCGTCGTCGTGCGTCGTCCATCGTGTGTTAACATTTAAACATTTTCAGCTTCTTCTCTGCAACCGCTCAACCAATTTCAACCAAATTTGTCATAAAGCATCTATGGGTAAAGGGGAACAAAATTTGTGAATTTCATGGTCCCTGCCCCCCCTGGGGCCTGAGGGGTGGGGCCAAAATCACTAAAATTAGTGCAATCTTTAAAAATCTTCTTCTTTACTCCTGAACATCAAGCAGTCAAACTGTTTGCATGATTGTAATCAACATTGAGTCCTCAACCAAAATTGTGAATTTCAGGTCCCTGGGGTCAGGGGTTCTTAGGTGCTGGGGTGTGGCTATATAGATTATGTAGTGAAAATGCATTATTTCTCTGAAAATCTTCTTCTCTGATCTTGGGTATTTTATAAACAAACCAAATACATAGCTATGTTGAATAAGGCTGCCTCTTCCAAATTTGTAAATTTCATGGCCCCTGCCCCCCTGGGGCCTGAGGGGTGGGGCCAGAACCACTAAAATTAGTGCGATCTTTAAAAATCTTCTCCTTTACTCCTGAACATCAAGCAGTCAAACTGTTTGCATGATTGTAATCAGCATTGAGTCCTCAACCAGAATTGTGAAATTCATGGCCCTGGGGTCAGGGGTTCTTGTGCAAGGGTGGGGCTATATAGATTATATAATGAAAATGCATTATTTCTTTGAAAATCTTCTTCTCTGCTTGTGGGCATTAAATAAACTAACCAAGTACATACATGTAGTTATGTTGAATAAGGCTGCCTTTTCCAAAACTGTGAATTTCATTTCCCCAGGGTCAGGGGTTCTGGTATTAGGGTGGGGCTCTATTGATTATATTGTGAAAATACATGAATTCTTTAAAAATCTTCTCCTCTGCTCCTGGGTATTAAACCAGTGAACTATGTAAATAGTTATGATGAAGAAGGCTGCCTCTTCCATTATTGTTAATATCAGGGCCTCTGGGTCAGTGGTTTGGAGTAAGTTCAGGATTATAATGCTTATATAATGAAAATGCATGAAATCTTTGAAAATCTTTTCCTTTACTCCTGGGTATTATACCAATGATCTATTAATGATGATGAAATGTGCCTCTTCCAAAATGGCTAATTTCTGGGCCTTTGGGTCAGGGGTTACCCTAGGCGGGGGGCTTTAAAGTCTGAATTTAGATTAATGCCTTGAAATCTGCTCTTTGTTAGTAATCAACCAGTAATTCATGATAAAATTTCCAAAATTTTGAAATGTGTGGCCCCAGGGTCAATGGTTCCTGTGGGGTGGGGTGCACAACTGTTAAAAAGTGGAAATGCATTTCTATTTGTTACTCTGATCTACCTCTGGGTATTAAGTTACCAAATTAAGCAAGATAGGTGTATAGTTATGATAAGCAATGGTGCCTCTTTCGAAAATGTGAATTTCATGGCCTTTGGTTTCAAACACGAGGCAATTCAATTGTTGGAAAGTTGTTGCATGATATTCAGGTGTCCAGACCTATAAGGCCCATGGGCCTCTTGTATCAGAAAAGACATATCAGCTGTGTAATATCAACTGTATTACAATATATCAGGTATGATGTATCAGTTGTGTCACATTATATCAGTTCTGTGCTGCTATATCAAGTGTATTATGTTATATCAACAGTGTTTTGTCATAGTCATTGTTATACATTGTATCAGTTGTGTTATATGTCCTAGAAGTATAAATTCAGACTTTTTGTAAAATCAATCTGTTTGTAAACTTTTTATTCATATAGCAAAACTATCTCTTTGAGTATTACTTTTGAAATGTTGTTTAGCTCTGCTATGAATATAGTTCTAAGTAGAACTAAGCTTTTCAATGGAGCAGTTTATAATTCTAATTCATTTTCTGCAGGTTACGCCATGAGAAAACTAAAATAAAGGAGATAGATAGAGGAGGTCCCAGTGATTATCAAATGCTGAAATGGTCCCCAATACAGGAACCTCCCTCCATCCCGAAACCCAAGTCTATGAAGAGGAATAAAGACGATTCATTCGACATCACGTTAGAAGTATAGTCTCCCCTGGTGCAGAATTCCGTCATAATCTCACGCTGCCATGGAAACTGATGAATGCATGAACAGACATTATGTGTTCTGTGTTTATGTGAATTTTGATAGATGTTTTCATGGAGTGAAAATTGAAATCAATTGGAAACTTTATCTGCAGTATTTTTCACATTTTTTTTTAGGATTTATTCCCAGTTCTTTTGGAAGAACTTACAAATTCATCTTTGCTTAAGAAAATTTATAGCAATATTTTGAATGAAAAAATAATAGAAATCAATGTGTAGTTACTCAGATTAAATAGTGACATTTCAGTTGTATGGCTTGAAACCTCATCCAAGTGATGTTTATGATTTCTAATTTCCCTGAATTATGTGTAGGCTGTACCCATCAACTGTCCTTCCTTAATGTTACTTTTAAAAAAGTTTTAAAATCCAAGTTTTTGATACAATTCTTTTTTTTTAATAATAATAGAATACTTGTATATACATATACAATATAGGCATTTTGGAATGACAGATTTATGCTTTTTGTTTGCATTTTTCCTTTTGTATGATGATACACCTAACATGATGTATCTTCCGTTTTTCTGCAATAAGACGTTACCTCTCCGCATTGGTTTTCAGACAGAGGGGAGAAATGCTGTGAATTTTTTGTTGTTGAAAGTTTGCAATGATAAAAACAATCGTTTTACATTTTATTGGGAATAAGTATTGTATCAATTTTCTTGCAGATACTTTTGAGATGTTTACAGATAAACTTTTCATTGTTTTAGTTTGCAAACACTTGTACATTGATATCATTTTGGATTGTTTTTAATATTCAGTATATGGTTAGCATGGTCAGTTATTTTGGTTCTAGTAAAAAGTAAACCAATTAAAGAGAGAGGACAATTCAATGTGACACTTTTTTACACAGGTATTATCAATCCCGTCCACTTATTCCATAAATATATATGTTTTTTATAAGATTTATACAGATGTATATTGTTTTTTGAAGGTTGTTCAGTATGATATATTTATTTTTGTATATTCTGTTGACTGTGATATCTTTTTCTTGAAGATAAAATTTCACAAAGTAGATCTCTGGTGTTACAGTTTTTCTGTTTCTGTGAAACCCAATCTAGAAATTAATCCTACAAGATCCCAGGTTTAGACATCAAGGGCAAATCTAGGAATTATTTCTTACGAAGATTCTTTAAAAGGTAGACTGCAGGTTGGCATTTGCTTTGGATTCTTAGGAAAAATTGCCCCCCCCCCCCCCCCCCCCCCCCCCCCGTGCAAGACATACAGTTCATACAGCAAGTTCATAACTTGAATCATGACCAAAAATTGTACACATTGAACGGCACTTTCATCTTTGAGGGATGAAACTTAATGACGTTCGATCCTGATATTTAAAGTCTTGAACTTTTTTTGCCAAGTATATTTTTAGTTTCTAAATGCCTAGCTTAATTAAAATTCAAAACAAAAAATGGGGGTCAATATGCTTCTTTTGGCGCTACAGTACATTTATTATGACCTTTATGCACTGAAATTTGTGTCTTAATTAAAAATTACATCTTCAACGTTTTCCCTCCAATACTTTTATCCAATTAAAGCATGAAACAAAATTAACTCTAAGTCTGTTTTAAAACGGACACTTTAAAACTGTGACTAAGAAAAAGTTTCAAATTGCATTGCATAATCAATTCTTTGAACTTTCTGCACTAATAAAATGTGATTTTTCTGGCATTGAAAATTTAATAAGTAAGAAAATTATTTTAATGTCTTAAACTTTTTCTGATTTTAAGCAAATAGGTCAAGGTTATCTTAAATATTTAGAAAAGAACATCAAAAGTGGGGGTGTATGATGTAAATTTTCAGATATTACTAAAAAAAGTGTCTATTTTACGTTAAAATTGGCTCAATTTTTCCCCGAATTTTCAGAATATATTTTCTATATTTGTCCCACTTTGTTGAAAGAATTCAAAAAAAATAATTTAATAGATATTTCAGAACTAGCATAACACATCTCACTGCAAAAAACAGCTTTGTGTGCAACCAGCATGGAAAAATAGGAATCCAAAATTAACAGTACTGTTATAGTTGAAAAGGGAAAAACTGATCATTTTCATTTAAAAAACCTTCCGCCACAAAATATAGTCCCTAGCTTAATTCTACTTGAATGGAATTTAATCGCGGTTTTTTTTCATTGAATATAATTCAATTTGCATTGTAGAATTCAGATTTAATGTTAGAACTTAAAAATGATGCAGAATTTTATAAATAAAGAACCTGACCAAAAAACGCTCAAAATCTCAGGATCGAACGTCCTTAACTGATTTACTGGCTCGCTTTTCCTCATTTCAAGAGATATAAACATTTGCATTTCAATTTATTTTAAAATCTTTTTATTATATCTTATATTAGTTTAATTGACAACGGTGTACTGTCATAGACACTTATAACAGAAACACGTCTGCTCGCTTTGACGTAAACTACATAAAAATGATTACACAAATTATGGCTAAATGCATCAATTACTGAACTTTTTTAACATATAACATTCTGGTGTGTATAGCAAATTCCTAAACGTGGGAAAACACTGAAGCACAAATTGAACATTAAAACTGGTCACCTTAGACAGAAAAACAATCTTTATATAATTTCTTAAATGACAGCCTGTAATGCCAATAACTAATCTTTATACAAATAGAGAATAAAGTTACAGTGAAATAACCAAAAAAAAAAAAGTCAAATCAGGTGGTCACATAGTTTTTTTTAATATATTAAGGATAAATTTTATCTATGACAGAACGGTCTTTATCCAAGTGCAAGTCTGCGTATTTTGGGTCAAGGACGATTCCGTTTCGTTTTTATAGTTCGATATAAATTTCTTTATAGCTGTGCAGTTTCTACCAATCCTTTCATCCTCGAGAGTCGCTGCATTTCTGCATTTCTCCTTCACGACGAACTTCTCAGGCGCGAATTCGGTTGTTAACTTGTCGCGCTTTGGCTGACGTTGTACAACAGTGTCACCGATCTCAATTTCACAACGGCGCGGCAAGATACCTTATTTTAAAATACTCTATCAGTCTTGCGAGATAAATCTGATCTCTATATTGGTATGAATTTTCCGATTGTATAATAACTCTGCAGTGCTTCTTCCGGTTGAGAGTGGGGTCGCAGCAGGTAAGAACTTGGGTAGTTCCTTCCAATCCTTGCCTTCTGCGTTTGCAGCTTTAATGGCTTTGAGTAGTGTTCGGTTTTGCCTCTCTACCTCCCCATTTCCTTGTGGCCAGTACGGTGTAGCATGTGTTTGATACCAAGAATTTTTAAATTCCTCTGAACAAACTGTGGTCCGTTGATTTTGCATACTGTAAGGTAATGTAACATACTCTCAAGTTGAAGAATGATCTTCTCACTGGTTATCTTTTTCATAATGGCTACTTCCAAAATCAAAAGCATCTATAACGATTTAGTTAAAAAATTGGAAAAACGGTCCCATAAGATCTATAGCCAGATCCTGCCATGGCCCGTCGGGTAATCATATATCGGGCCTAGTGTTTTCGACAAGAGGGCATTGTTGACATGTTCTTACAAATCGCTCGGCAAAAACCATAATTTTCTCTTAATCTTTGTTTCGTGCGGACAATACCCTGGTGTCCTTCGTGGGCCAACTGTATTGTTTGTTTTTAGGCATTTAGGCAGTAAGATGCGCGATCACGTAACATTTGAAATTCCGTTTCCACGGTACGAAAACAGACGCCCATGCCCTGTTTTGATCCTCCTCATAATCTCGAAAAGTTCTTTTTAAGTTTTTACGAACTTCTTGAATTGATGCTTATATAGCAATGCAATGAAATGCGCATACTCGTCTGCAACGTATTCGGCAAGCCTGATTCTGACTCAATCTGGATAGAGCATCAGCAGCATTCTTTGGTCCAGGTATATAGGCAATCTTATACTTATAAAAAGTCGCAACATCCATCGCTGAAGCTGGTGGTTTCGACTTTGGAGAGAAAATGTAAGTCAACGGCTTATGATCCGTCCAGATTTCGAACTCCAGCCCGTATATATACATGTGAAACTTTTCACAACCAAACACGACACCTAAAGCCTCGCGCTCGGTCTGCGAGTATCTGCTCAACGTCATTTATATACTTGAATATGCAATTGGTTTAAACAATCCGTCCGGTTGTTTCTGTAGAATGGCCCCAAGTCCAACGGGACTCGCATCCACGATTATCCTTGTCTCGGCTTTTGGATTGTAGCTCTCTTCGGCACTTACGAGCGCTCTTTTAAGCATGTCAAACGCATCCTGGTGTCTTTTCGTCCAACTCCAGTGCGTGTTCTTTCTTGTAAGTTCTCGTAACGGGGCAGCTATCGTTGAGAAGTTAGGTATAAAACGGCCGCAGTAGTTTGCTAGCCCCAGGAAGCTCCTTATTTCGGAACTGTTTTCGGCGTCCTGGTCTCCGATACTGCTTTGATCTTTTCCTGGTCAGGTTTAACCCCCTCTGATGAAATCACATGTCCGAGGAACACAATTTTTGACAGACCGAATTCGCATTTTTCTCTGTTTAGGGTAAGCCCTTTTAGCTAGTCTGTCGAGCACCTTCGTAAGTTTCTTGTTATGATCCGCCTGATCCGTCCCGTAGACTACAATGTCATCAGACAAATTCCTTACTCCTTTGATACCTTGAATGACTTGTCCAATTACTCTTTGGTAGATACAGATGCTGAGGAAATTCCGAACATGAGGCGCTTATAGCGGTAAAGGCCCTCGTGTGTCACAAATGTGGTTATCTCTCTTGATTCCTCGTCTAGCTCTATTTGGTATCCCCAACGTAAAAAAGTTTTGAACACTGTGCTGCCGTTCATATCCTCTAGCATTTCATCCACAGTCGGGATCGGGTAT